GATAATATAGGGGGAGTAGTCATTTGGTTGGTTTTGAGTGCAATCCAATCTCTAGAACTATGCAATACACCAACCACTCCATTTCAGAACGAACTTCGTACGAACCTGAATTGTCCGATTTCATGGACCAATCGATATCGGACTGAGTCCAAAACTTTTGGAACAACATATTATGGTGGGTGGAGTCATTTGGTTGGTTTTAAGTGAAATCCAAACTCAAGAACTATGGAATACAACAACCTCTCCATTTCGGAACAATTGAGATCGGATTGAGTCCAAAACTTGGGGAACATCATAATATGGGGGGAGGAGTCATTTGGTTGTTTTGAGTGAAATCCAATATCTAAAACTATGCAACACACCAACCACTTCATTTCAGAACGAACTTCCTACGAACCTAATTGTCCGATTTCATGGACCAATCGATATCGGATTGAGTCCAAAACTTGGGGAACAACATATTATGGTGGGAGGAGTCAATTGGTTGGTTTTGAGTGAAATCCAATCTCTAAAACTATGGAATACACCAACCACTCCATTTCAGAACGAACTTGTACGAACCTGAATTGTTCGATTTCATGGACCAATCGATATCGGGTTGAGTCCAAAACTTGGGGAACATCATAATATGGTGGGAGGAGTCATTTGGGGGGTTTTGAGTGAAATCCAATCTAAAACTTTGCAATACACCAACCACTCCATTTTAGAACGAACTTCTTACGAACCTGAATTGTCCGATTTCACGGGCCAATCGATATCGGATTGAGTCCAAAACTTAGGGAACATCATAATATGGTGGGAGGAGTCATTTGCTTGGTTTTTCGTGAGATCCAATCTCTAGAACTATGAAATACACCAACCACTTCATTTCAGAACGAATTGCGTACGAACCTGAATTGTCCGATTTCATGGACCAATCGATATCGGGTTGATTCCAAAACTTGGGGAGCATCACAATATGGTGGGAGGAGTCATTTGGTTCATTTTGAGTGCAATCCAATCCCCAGCACTATGCAATACACCAACCAATCAATTTCATAATGAACTTCCAATGAACCTGAATTGTCCGATTTCAACGACCAATCGATATCGGATTGAGTCCAAAACTTGGGGAGCATCATAATATTGCGGGAAGAGTCGTTTCGTGGGTTCTGAGTGCCATATAATCTCTAGAACTTTGCAATACACCAACCACTCCATTTCAGAACGAACTTCTTACGAACCAGAATTGTCCGATTTCAACGACCAATCGATATCAGATTGAGTCCAAAACTTGGGTAGCATCATAATATTGTGGGAGGAGTCATTTGGTGGTTTTGAGTGCAATCTAATCTCTAAAACTTTGCAATACACCAACCACACCATTTCATAACGAACCTGAATTGTCCGATTTCATGGACCAATCGATATCGGATTGAGTCCAAAACTTGGGGAACATCAAAATATGGTGGGAGGAGTCATTTGGTTTTGTTTTTTTGTTTTTAAATCCAATTCTAAAACTATGCAATACCCCAACCACTCCATTTCAGAACGAAACTTCGTACGAACCTGAATTGTCCGATTTCATGGACCAATCGATATCGGATTGAGTCCAAAACTTGGGGAACATCATAATATGGTGGGAGGAGTCATTTGGTGGGTTTTGAGTGAAATCCAATCTCTAAAACTATGCAATACACCAACCACTCCATTTCAGAACGAACTTCGTACGAACCTGAATTGTCTGATTTCATGGACCAATCGATATCGGATTGAGTCCAAAACTTGGGGAACATCATAATACGGTGGGAGGAGTCATTTGGTTGTTTTGAGTGAAATCCAATCTATAAAACTATGCAATACACCAACCACTCCATTTCAGAACGAACTTCGTACGAACCTGAATTGTCCGATTTCATGGACCAATCGATATCGGATTGAGTCCAAACCTTGGGAACATCATAATATGGTGGGAGGAGTCATTTGGTTGGTTTGGAGTGAAATCCAATCTAGAACTATGCTGAATTGCTACACCATTTTAGAACGAACTCCTGAATTGTCCGATATCATGGACCAGTCGATATCGGATTGAGTCCAAAACTTGGGGAACATCATAATATGGGGGAGGAGTCATTGGGTTGGTTTTGAGTGAAATCCAATCTATAAAACTATGCAATACACCAACCACTCCATTTCGGAACGAACTTCGTACGAACCTGAATTGTCCGTTTTCATGGACCAATCGATATCGGATTGAGTCCAAAACTTGGGGAACAACATAATTATGGTGGGAGGAGTCATTTGGTTGGTTTTGAGTGAAATCCAATCTCTAAAACTATGCAATACACCAACACTCCATTTCAGAACGAACTTCCTACGAACCTGAATTGTCCGATTTCATGGACCAATCGATATCGGATTGAGTCCAAAACTTGGGGAGCATCATAATATGGTGGGAGGAGTCATTTGGTTGGTTTTGAGTGAAATCCAATCTCTAAAACTATGCAATACACCAACCACTCCATTTCAGAACGAACTTCTACGAACCTAAAATTGTCCGATTTCATGGACCAATCGATATCGGATTGAGTCCAAAACTTTGGGAACATCATAATATGGTGGGAGGAGTCATTTGGTGGGTTTTGAGTGAAATCCAATCTCTTAAAACTATGCAATACACCAACCACTCCATTTCAGAACGAACTTCTTACGAACCTGAATTGTCCGATTTCAACGACCAATCGATATCGGATTGAGTCCAAAACTTGGGGAACATCATAATATGTGTGGGAGGAGTCATTTGGTGGTTTTGAGTGAAATCCAATCTTTAAAACTTTGCAATACACCAACCACTCCATTTCAACGAACTTCGTACGAACCTAAATTGTCCGATTTCATGGACCAATCGATATCGGGATTGAGTCCAAAACTTGGGGAACATCAATATGGTGGGAGGAGTCATTTGGTGGGTTTTGAGTGAAATCCAATCTCTAAAACTATGCAATACACCAACCACTCCATTTCAGAACGAACCTCCTACGAACCTGAATTGTCCGATTTCATGGACCAATCGATATCGGATTGAGTCCAAAACTGGGGGAACATCATATGGGGAGGAGTCATTTGGTGTTTTGAGTGAAATCCAATGTCTAAAACTATGAAATACACCAACCACTCCATTTCAGAACGAACTTCGTACGAACCTGAATTGTCCGATTTCATGGACCAATCGATATCGGATTGAGTCCAAAACTTGGGGAGCATCATAATATGGTGGGAGGAGTCATTTGGTGGGTTTTGAGTGAAATCCAATCTCTAAAACTATGCAATACACCAACCACTCCATTTCAGAACGAACTTCCTACGAACCTGAATTGTCCGATTTCATGGACCAATCGATATTGGATTGAGTCCAAAACTTGGGGAACATCATAATATGGTGGGAGGAGTCATTTGGTGTGTTTTGAGTGAAATCCAATCTCTAAAACTATGCAATACACCAACACCCCATTTCAGAACGAACTTCCTACGAACCTGAATTGTCCGATTTCATGGGCCAATCGATATCGGATTGAGTCCAAAACATGGGGAACATCATAATTTGGTGGGAGGAGTCATTTGGTTGGTTTTGAGTGAAATCCAATCTCTAAAACTATGGAATACACCCACCACTCCATTTCAGAACGAACTTCCTACGAACCTGAATTGTCCGATTTCATGGACCAATCGATATCGGATTGAGTCCAAAACTTGGGGAACAACATAATATGGTGGGAGGAGTCATTTGGTTGGTTTTGAGTGAAATCCAATCTCTAAAACTATGCAATACACCAACCACTCCATTTCAGAACGAACTTCCTACGAACCTGAATTGTCCGATTTCATGGACCAATCGATATCGGATTGAGTCCAAAACTTGGGGAACAACATAATATGGTGGGAGGAGTCATTTGGTTGGTTTTGAGTGAAATCCAATTGCTAAAACTATGCAATACACCACCCACTCCATTTCAGAACGAACTTCCTACGAACCTGAATTGTCCGATTTCATGGACCAATCGATATCGGATTGAGTCCAAAACTTGGGGAACAACATAATATGGTGGGAGGAGTCATTTGGTTGGTTTTGAGTGAAATCCAATGGCTAAAACTATGGAATACACCAACCACTCCATTTCAGAACGAACTTCCTACGAACCTGAATAGTCCGATTTCATGGACCAATCGATATCGGATTGAGTCCAAAACTTGGGGAACAACATAATATGGTGGGAGGAGTCATTTGGTTGGTTTTGAGTGAAATCCAATGGCTAAAACTATGGAATACACCAACCACTCCATTTCAGAACGAACTTCCTACGAACCTGAATAGTCCGATTTCATGGACCAATCGATATCGGATTGAGTCCAAACCTTGGGGAACAACATAATATGGTGGGAGGAGTCATTTGGTTGGTTTTGAGTGAAATCCAATCTCTAAAACTATGGAACAAACCAACCACTCCATTTCAGAACGAACTGCTTACGAACCTGAATTGTCCGATTTCATGGACCAATCGATATCGAATTGAGTCCAAAACTTGGGGAACATCATAATATAGGGTGGGAGGAGTCATTTGGTTGGTTTTAAGTGAAATCCAATCTCTAAAACTATGGAACAAACCAACCATTCCATTTCAGAACGAACTGCTTACGAACCTGTATTGTCCGATATCATGGACCAGTGGATATCGAACTGAGGCCAGAAGTTGGGGAACATCATAATATAGGGGGATGAGTCATTTGGTTGGTTTTAAGTGAAATCCAATCTCTAGAACTATGGAACAAACCAACCATTCCATTTCAGAACGAACTGCTTATGAACCTGTATTGTCCGATATCATGGACCAGTGGATATCGAACTGAGGCCAGAAGTTGGGGAACATCATAATATAGGGGGATGAGTCATTTGGTTGGTTTTTAAGTGAAATCCAATCTCAAGAACTATGGAATACAGCAACCTCTCCATTTCTAAACGTTCTTTAAGCTTCACTAGGGCCAACGGCATGGAGGGGTACATCCTCCACTACATGCTCCTTAAAAGACTCATAGTATGGCTTCAAACGGTGTCCATTCACTTTGAATTCATGTCCCGTCTTTAAACTTTGAATTTGGACTGCACCATAGGGAAAAACATTAGTAACAACAAAAGGACCAATCCATTTAGAACGCAACTTACCTGGAAAAAAACGAAGGCGAGAGTTGAAAAGTAACACTTTCTGCCCCACAGAAAACGTTTTACTACGAATCATCTTGTCATGGGCAGCCTTTGTTTTCTCCTTGTAAATATGAGCGTTCTCATAAGCTTCAGTCCGAATTTCCTCAAGCTCATTCAATTGCAATTTCCTATGAAGTCCAGCGGCATCAATGTTCATGTTGAAAGTCTTGACTGCCCAATGTGCACGATGCTCCAACTCAACTGGAAGATGGCATGGTTTCCCATAAATGAGCCGAAAAGGAGACATTCCAATTGGTGTTTTGTAGGCAGTACGATATGCCCACAATGCATCATTCAAACTCAAGCTCCAATCCTTTCGAGTTGGTCCAATTGTCTTTTCCAAGATCTGCTTGATTTCCCTGTTGGAAACTTCGGCTTGTCCACTTGTTTGGGGATGATAAGGTGTTGAAACCTTGTGTGTGACATTATACTTCTTAAGTAGTGCCTCTATGGTCCGATTACAAAAGTGAGAGCCCCCATCACTTATAAGTACTCGTGGCATTTAAAATCTTGCAAATATGTTAGTTTTAATAAAATTTGCAACCACTTTGGAATCATTGGTACGGGTGGCTTTTGCTCCCACCCATTTCGAAACATAATCCACAGCAAGTAAGATATAATTAAAACCATGTGAGGAAGGAAAAGGGCCCATGAAATCAATACCCCAAACATCAAAAATCTCAACAGAAAAGATAGGGGTTTGCGGCATTTGATCTTTTGCACCTATATTGCCCGTTCTTGACAACGATCACAAGTCATACAAAAAGTTCTAGCATCCTTAAAGATAGTAGGCCAATAAAATCCACATTCTAAAACCTTAAGTGCTGTGCGTTGTGTACCAAAGTGACCCCCACATGCATAAGTGTGACAGAAGGTTAAAATTGAATTAAACTCAGAATCATGCACACATCTACGAATAATTTTATCAGGGCAATATTTCCACAAATAAGGGTCATCCCACACATAAAACCGTGCCATTTTTTTAAGTTTATCGCGTTGGTGCCTAGTTATGGTGCTTGGAACTTGTTTAGACACAATATAATTCACAATATCAGCATACCATGGCTCACTTACCTCAATGGTCAGCAATTGTTCATCTGGGAATGCCTCTGGAATAGGTAGAAGGTCTTCTTCATGTACCAAACGGCTCAAGTGGTCAGCCACTACATTTTCACATCCTCTTTTGTCCCTAATTTCCACGTCAAACTCCTGAAGAAGAAGCATCCAGCGAATAAGCCTTGGTTTGGCTTCTTTCTTTGTGAGTAAGTACTTCAAAGCTGCATGGTCAGAGTAAATTATAACTTTAGTACCAAGTAAATAAGAACGAAACTTATCTAAAGCAAACACAACAACAAGAAGTTCTTTTTCAGTGGTGGAGTAATTCAATTGAGCATCATTCAAGGTTCGGGATGCGTAGTAGATGACGTGTGGCTTCTTGTCCTTCCGTTGTCCCAAAACAGCCCCTAAAGCATAATCTGAAGCATCACACATAAGCTCGAACGGAAGGCTCCAATCTGGTGGAACAATGATAGGTGCTGAAGTTAACAATTCTTTGAGGTGATTGAACGCCTTCTCACATTCGTCATCAAACACAAACGGCACATCCTTTTGTAGAAGTCGGCACAAGGGTGTTGAAATCTTTGAGAAATCTTTGATAAAACGTCTATAGAATCCTGCATGTCCAAGGAAAGAACGAACCTCTCTCACCGAAGTGGGAGAGGGTAAGTGGCGTACAAGACCTATTTTTGATTTATCAACTTCAATTCCCTTTTCTGAAACTATATGTCCTAAAACTATGCCTTGTTTTACCATGAAGTGACATTTTTCCCAATTTAAAACAAGGTTGGTTTCAATGCAACGTTTTAATATCAACGTGAGATTAGTTAAACAACCATCAAAAGAGTCACCAAAGACACTAAAATCATCCATGAAAACCTCAATAATCTTCTCAACGAAATCGGAAAAGATACTTACCATGCATCTTTGAAAGGTGGCTGGTGCATTACATAAACCAAATGGCATTCGTCGATAAGCAAAAGTACCAAACGGACAAGTAAAAGTAGTCTTTTCTTGGTCATCTGGGGCTATAACAATCTGATTATATCCCGAATAGCCATCAAGAAAGCAATAAAAAGAATGACCGGCTAACCTTTCAAGCATTTGATCAATGAACGGCAAAGGGAAGTGATCTTTCCTTGTGGTGGCGTTGAGCTTCCTATAATCAATGCAAACTCTCCAACTTGTTTGGATACGAGTGGGGACAAGTTCATTCTCTTCGTTTTTACCACAGTGACTCCTGATTTCTTTGGTACAACTTGAACCGATGAAACCCAACGACTATCCAAAATTGGGTAAATGACCCCACAATCGAGAAGCTTAATGATCTCCTTTTTCACAACTTCCATCATTGGAGGGTTGAGTCGGCGTTGAGCCTCTCAAGTTGGTTTAGCCCCTCCTCTAGAAGTATGCGATGTATGCATGTTGTAGGACTAAGTCCTTTGATGTCGGCTAAAGTCCATCCCATAGCTGTTTTGTACTCTTGCAACACCCGAACTAGTTTTTCCTCCTCCACTGCCGTGAGTGATGAAGAGACTATGACGGGCAAAGTCTCTTTATCTCCCAAGAAGACATACTTCAAATGATTCGGTAATGGTTTAAGCTCGAGAGTGGGTGCCTGAATCACCGAAGGTAACAACTTGTTAGTAGAAACGGGAATTGGAATTGGGATTGGAGGCTTACCAACATATTGTGGCAATGACTCAAGGGCAGCCACCATCTCGCCAATTTCTTCATGATTAGGTTCGGCCCCATTTTTGATGAGTTCAATTCCTTGAACAATGGTGGTTTCAAGGGCATCCCTATCTAGATATTCGAGATATTCCTGCGCCAAAGAATCAAATGCATCAATAGAGAAACACGAGTGATCATCAATAGGGTACCTTATAGCTTCAGAAATATTAAAATCAATGATATCGCCATCAAATTCCATTGTCAACGTCCCCTTGAACACATCGATCTTGGTTCGGGCTGTTTTCATGAAAGGTCATCCAAGTAAGATTGGCAATGGTGTAGAATGGGCCGAATCCTCCATCTCAAGCACATAAAAATCTGCTGGAAATATCAAGTGGTTAACCTGCACCAAAACATCTTTCAAAACTCCTTTCGGATATGCATTAGAACGATCGGCTAATTGAATTATAACGCCATCATTTTTAAGCTCTCCTAAGTTCATAGATGCATAAATAGAGTATGGCATGACATTAATGGAAGCACCTAAATCTAACCTGGCATGTTCAAACTTGGTGTTCCCAATAACACAAGGGATTGTGAAACTACCTGGATCTTTGCATTTAGGTGGCAGTTTTCGTTGCAAAACTGCGGAAACATTCTCACTTACCCTTACCATTTCTTTGTTTGAAATCCTCCTCCTTGTTGTACAAAGCTCTTTCAAGAATTTAGTATACTTTGGAACTTGCTTTATTGCGTCAAGAAGTGGGATATTGACTTGTACCTTCCTGAAAGTCTCTAAGATGTCTTTTTCATTCTCTTCTTTCTTAGATTGCATAAACCTGCGAGGGAAAGGCACATTTGGTGGAATAGGGTTAGAATGAGTTGAATTTGGAACAACCTTACCTAAGTTTGGTTGTGTAGGAGCTTTGGGGGACTGTGGCAAGGGTTGTTCCTCCCTTGTCGTGGCTTTGTCCACCTCCTTCTCTTTGAGCAGCAGCTTTTCGTTCTCTTTTGAGCTTTGTTTGGAAATTTTGGGATTGGTTCCAATCTCTTTACCACCCACTCCTCAAGATGATAGCTTTAGCTGTTTCAAAACCTCCTTTTGGATTGACAATGGTTGAGCTAGGTAGTTTGCCTTCTTCTCAAAACTGTCCCATGAACTCCGCCATCTGCCCAATTTGCTTCTTCACTTTGCTCATCTCTTTGGCTTGATTTTGTAAACCCTGAGTCAAAGAAGTTAGTACTTTAAGCATTTGATCATTATCCAATGGCGAACCTGAATTTGATTGGGCAGTTTGTGGTTGAGGTTGTGGTGGTGCGAACGGCCTTTGATAGAGCCCTGGAGGTGGCTGTCTATATCCACCTTGTTGTTGAGTTTGTTGAGGCTCCCTCCACTTCAAGTTTGGATGATCTCTCCAGCCCGGATTGTAGGTGTTTGAAAACGGGTCATACCTAGGTTGATTTTGGCCTTGATAACCTACGGCATTGGCACTTTCCCATCCCCCATTATCGATTAATTGAGAACATTGATCACTGTGGTGTCCATGCATAGAGCACACGCTACAAGTGGCTATACTTTGCACTTTGGATCCTTCAACAACCTGTGAAATAAGAGTAGAGAGATTAGCCATTTGAGATTGAAGTTCCGAAATAGCACTTACCTCATTAACTTGACTGGCCATGTATGATCTGTCCCTCCAACTCCTTTGTATTGATGTGCATTCGAAGCTCGATTTGCTATTAGATCTTTGCAGCAACTGGGTTTTGTCAACCAAAGCACCTCCCGCTGAAGCATCAAGCATTTGTCTCCCCAGTGGAAGTAGTCCTTCATAGAAATATTGAATTAAAAGCTCTTCCTTCATTTGATGTTGTGGGTAGGATGCAACTAACGTCTTAAAAAGCTCATAATACACTGGAAAGGATTCTCCCGGGCCCTGTTGAATTCCACTAATTTTCTTCCTCAAAAGAATGACTCTTGAAGTTGGGAAGAATTTCTCTAAGAATGCTTTCTTCATACTTTCCCAAGAAGTAACGGTTCCAGGTGCTAGTTCATAGAGCCAATCTTTAGCCTTGTCCATAAGAGAGAATGGGAAGGCTTTTCATCTTCAAAATATTTCCATCCACGTTAATGGGTGTCATACTTGAACATACTACTTCAAATTCCTTCAAATGCTTGTTTGGATCTTCCATGGACAGCCCATGGTATTTGGGAATGTGATGTAGCAAACTTGACTTCAATTCAAACTCATCGGTCTTGCCTGCAACTGCCCTAGGGTATTGAATGCAAAGAGGGACTGCATTGTCCAATTCAGAGGCTGAAAGTTCCTTGATTGTTCGATTGTCTACAGCCATGTCTTGTTCCTCTTCCAACTCCGTTTCAGCTTCAGATTCAGGTTCGGAACAAGAACTAGAGGGATTGAGTTCTGGCTGCTTCCTCTTCCTTCTCAAAGTTCGTTCGAAATCGTCGTCAAAGTCCAATATGTGCGCACGAACAGGGGGTGAACTTCGAGTCATAAACTAGTACCTAAACAAAGAAAACAAAACAAAACAAAATCAGAAACACAAGAAAACGAAAACAAACGGAAGATTAGCAATTTTGCTAATCCCCGGCAACGGCGCCAAAATTTGGCGTGAGAAATAACTAATGCACAAATTAAACCCTATAAATTATGCAATCGTAGTACGCGTAAGTAGGGATCGTTCTATTCCGGGGATTAGGAGGGATGCTAATCAACACAAATTAAACTTATTAAACTGAAAACTAAGTTAAGGGAACAATGATTGGGGGGAGTTTTGACGATTTAGACTAAAGTAAAACTGACAGCAGCAAACAACTAAGTTGTGAATGAAATATGGATTAAGGGATAGCTAGAGGATTCTTCTCCACACATGGAAAATATGCACACAAATCGATCTCCAGTTACTCTTTCTATAAAGTATGAATGACAAAGCCCCAAATTAATTGTGAATGCACTAATTAACTCTCAGATTTTCCTAAGTTCATTGAATTGGACTCAGCGACACAATCAAATTATCCTTATCAAGTTCCCTATATGAACAACATGATAGAGATACATATCAAAGATCATTAAGTTCTATGAAAATCATAAGCCTTGACAAGGCAATTGTAACTATGAAAAGCATGATACTCTTGCCAAGAATTTACTTAACACAATCATGACTAGTGACTTTTACTACTTGTGAATATAAGTTCATAACGATTAGGTGAAATTCCCTTATATTCTAGCATCAAATCCCTGCATACAAACTAAGTATGCATCCTTAATAAACATGCAAGAATAAGTCCTCAATAAAACAGAAAAGTAAATCACATTCATACTTTATGAAACCATAACTGGAAGTAATCAATTCATATAAAACATATGTCCATGGCTTCGAATTCACCTCTAACTAAGAAGAATTCATCACACATGTTCATAATAATTGAAAAGCAATCTAGAATAAACATTTAAACTAATCAAGGGAAGAACTCTGAAAACCCAATGGATGCAGCAGGTTCCGGCTCCAAGTTCTTCTTCTCTCTTTCTCCTTCTTGCTACGGCACCAAAAAAAACTCCCTTCTCCTGCGGCAACCCCTCCTTTATATATGTGGTAGTTCTAGGGTAAAAGGGGAAGGCAAAAACCCACGAAATTAGGGTTTTGTTTGGCAAATATCTTTATGAACAAGGATAGGGCCCAACAGAAACCAACGAAATTAGGGTTTTTAGGTCTCCTAATATGAAATTAATCCCCCCCTTTTCCAGCTGGAATTTAGGTAGAATAGGATTAGGATAACGTAAAATAAAATAAAATCAGTTAGGGGTTTTTTTCCTTCCCAGAAGATGATTCTTGAATTAATTTCCCCATCTTTTTAGCACATTCCTAGCCTCTTTGAACTTCAAAAACGTCCATCCATCTTGGCCCATGCATATGCTATCCATTCCAAGTCCAAAACTATGAAATAAACCAACCACTCCATTTCAGAACGAACTTCTACGAACCTGAATTGTCCGATTTCATGGACCAATCGATATCGGATTGAGTCCAAAACTTGGGGAACAACATAATATGGTGGGAGGAGTCATTTGGTTGGTTTTGAGTGAAATCCAATGGCTAAAACTATGCAATACACCAACCACTCCATTTCAGAACGAACTTCCTACGAACCTGAATAGTCCGATTTCATGGACCAATCGATATCGGATTGAGTCCAAAACTTGGGGAACAACATAATATGGTGGGAGGAGTCATTTGGTTGGTTTTGAGTGAAATCCAATGGCTAAAACTATGCAATACACCAACCACTCCATTTCAGAACGAACTTCCTACGAACCTGAATAGTCCGATTTCATGGACCAATCGATATCGGATTGAGTCCAAAACTTGGGGAACAACATAATATGGTGGGAGGAGTCATTTGGTTGGTTTTGAGTGAAATCCAATGGCTAAAACTATGCAATACACCAACCACTCCATTTCAGAACGAACTTCCTACGAACCTGAATAGTCCGATTTCATGGACCAATCGATATCGGATTGAGTCCAAAACTTGGGGAACAACATAATATGGTGGGTAGGAGTCATTTGGTTGGTTTTGAGTGAAATCCAATGGCTAAAACTATGCAATACACCAACCACTCCATTTCAGAACGAACTTCCTACGAACCTGAATAGTCCGATTTCATGGACCAATCGATATCGGATTGAGTCCAAAACTTGGGGAACAACATAATATGGTGGGAGGAGTCATTTGGTTGGTTTTGAGTGAAATCCAATGGCTAAAACTATGCAATACACCAACCACTCCATTTCAGAACGAACTTGCTACGAACCTGAATAGTCCGATTTCATGGACCAATCGATATCGGATTGAGTCCAAAACTTGGGGAACAACATAATATGGTGGGAGGAGTCATTTGGTTGGTTTTGAGTGAAATCCAATGGCTAAAACTATGCAATACACCACCACTCCATTTCAGAACGAACTTGCTACGAACCTGAATAGTCCGATTTCATGGACCAATCGATATCGGATTGAGTCCAAAACTTGGGGAACAACATAATATGGTGGGAGGAGTCATTTGGTTGGTTTTGAGTGAAATCCAATGGCTAAAACTATGCAATACACCAACCACTCCATTTCAGAACGAACTTCCTACGAACATGAATAGTCCGATTTCATGGACCAATCGATATCGGATTGAGTCCAAAACTTGGGGAACAACATAATATGGTGGGAGGAGTCATTTGGTTGGTTTTGAGTGAAATCCAATGGCTAAAACTATGCAATACACCAACCACTCCATTTCAGAACGAACTTCCTACGAACCTGAATAGTCCGATTTCATGGACCAATCGATATCGGATTGAGTCCAAAACTTGGGGAACAACATAATATGGTGGGAGGAGTCATTTGGTTGGTTTTGAGTGAAATCCAATGGCTAAAACTATGCAATACACCAACCACTCCATTTCAGAACGAACTTGCTACGAACCTGAATAGTCCGATTTCATGGACCAATCGATATCGGATTGAGTCCAAAACTTGGGGAACAACATAATATGGTGGGAGGAGTCATTTGGTTGGTTTTGAGTGAAATCCAATGGCTAAAACTATGCAATACACCAACCACTCCATTTCAGAACGAACTTCCTACGAACCTGAATAGTCCGATTTCTTGGACCAATCGATATCGGATTGAGTCCAAAACTTGGGGAACAACATAATATGGTGGGTAGGAGTCATTTGGTTGGTTTTGAGTGAAATCCAATGGCTAAAACTATGCAATACACCAACCACTCCATTTCAGAACGAACTTGCTACGAACCTGAATAGTCCGATTTCATGGACCAATCGATATCGGATTGAGTCCAAAACTTGGGGAACAACATAATATGGTGGGAGGAGTCATTTGGTTGGTTTGGAGTGAAATCCAATGGCTAAAACTATGCAATACACCAACCACTCCATTTCAGAACGAACTTGCTACGAACCTGAATAGTCCGATTTCATGGACCAATCGATATCGGATTGAGTCCAAAACTTGGGGAACAACATAATATGGTGGGAGGAGTCATTTGGTTGGTTTTGAGTGAAATCCAATGGCTAAAACTATGCAATACACCAACCACTCCATTTCAGAACGAACTTGCTACGAACCTGAATAGTCCGATTTCATGGACCAATCGATATCGGATTGAGTCCAAAACTTGGGGAACAACATAATATGGTGGGAGGAGTCATTTGGTTGGTTTTGAGTGAAATCCAATGGCTAAAACTATGCAATACACCAACCACTCCATTTCAGAACGAACTTCCTACGAACCTGAATAGTCCGATTTCATGGACCAATCGATATCGGATTGAGTCCAAAACTTGGGGAACAACATAATATGGTGGGAGGAGTCATTTGGTTGGTTTTGAGTGAAATCCAATGGCTAAAACTATGCAATACACCAACCACTCCATTTCAGAACGAACTTCCTACGAACCTGAATAGTCCGATTTCATGGACCAATCGATATCGGATTGAGTCCAAAACTTGGGGAACAACATAATATGGTGGGAGGAGTCATTTGGTTGGTTTTGAGTGAAATCCAATGGCTAAAACTGTGCAATACACCAACCACTCCATTTCAGAACGAACTTCCTACGAACCTGAATAGTCCGATTTCATGGACCAATCGATATCGGATTGAGTCCAAAACTTGGGGAACAACATAATATGGTGGGAGGAGTCATTTGGTTGGTTTTGAGTGAAATCCAATGGCTAAAACTATGCAATACACCAACCACTCCATTTCAGAACGAACTTCCTACGAACCTGAATAGTCCGATTTCATGGACCAATCGATATCGGATTGAGTCCAAAACTTGGGGAACAACATAATATGGTGGGAGGAGTCATTTGGTTGGTTTTGAGTGAAATCCAATGGCTAAAACTATGCAATACACCAACCACTCCATTTCAGAACGAACTTCCTACGAACCTGAATAGTCCGATTTCATGGACCAATCGATATCGGATTGAGTCCCAAACTTGGGGAACAACATAATATGGTGGGAGGAGTCATTTGGTTGGTTTGAGTGAAATCCAATGGCTAAAACTATGCAATACACCAACCACTCCATTTCAGAACGAACTTCTACGAACCTGAATAGTCCGATTTCATGGACCAATCGATATCGGATTGAGTCCAAAACTTGGGGAACAACATAATATGGTGGGAGGAGTCATTTGGTTGGTTTTGAGTGAAATCCAATGGCTAAAACTATGCAATACACCAACCACTCCATTTCAGAACGAACTTCCTACGAACCTGAATAGTCCGATTTCATGGACCAATCGATATCGGATTGAGTCCAAAACTTGGGGAACAACAAAATATGGTGGGAGGAGTCATTTGGTTGGTTTTGAGTGAAATCCAATGGCTAAAACTATGCAATACACCAACCACTCCATTTCAGAACGAACTTCCTACGAACCTGAATAGTCCGATTTCTTGGACCAATCGATATCGGATTGAGTCCAAAACTTGGGGAACAACATAATATGGTGGGAGGAGTCATTTGGTTGGTTTTGAGTGAAATCCAATGGCTAAAACTATGCAATACACCAACCACTCCATTTCAGAACGAACTTCCTACGAACCTGAATAGTCCGATTTCATGGACCAATCGATATCGGATTGAGTCCAAAACTTGGGGAACAACATAATATGGTGGAGGAGTCATTTGGTTGGTTTTGAGTGAAATCCAATGGCTAAAACTATGCAATACACCAACCACTCCATTTCAGAACGAACTTCCTACGAACCTGAATAGTCCGATTTCATGGACCAATCGATATCGGATTGAGTCCAAAACTTGGGAACAACATAATATGGTGGGAGTCATTTTGGTTGGTTTTGGAGTGAAATCCAATGGCTAAAACTATGCAATACACCAACCACTCCATTTCAGAACGAACTTCCTACGAACCTGAATAGTCCGATTTCATGGACCAATCGATATCGGATTGAGTCCAAAACTTGGGGAACAACATAATATGGTGGGAGGAGTCTTTGGTTGGTTTGAGTGAAATCCAATGGCTCTAAAACTATGCAATACACCAACCACTCCATTTCAGAACGAACTTCCTACGAACCTGAATAGTCCGATTTCGGGGACCAATCGATATCGGATTGAGTCCAAAACTTGGGGAACAACATAATATGGTGGGAGGAGTCATTTGGGTGGTTTTGAGTGAAATCCAATGGCTAAAACTATGCAATACACCAACCACTCCATTTCAGAACGAACTTCCTACGAACCTGAATAGTCCGATTTCATGGACCAATCGATATCGGATTGAGTCCAAAACTTGGGGAACAACATAATATGGTGGGAGGAGTCATTTGGTTGTTTTGAGTGAAATCCAATGGCTAAAACTATGCAATACACCAACCACTCCATTTCAGAACGAACTTCCTACGAACCTGAATAGTCCGATTTCATGGACCAATCGATATCGGATTGAGTCCAAAACTTGGGGAACAACATAATATGGTGGGAGGAGTCATTTGGTTGGTTTGAGTGAAATCCAATGGCTAAAAACTATGCAATACACCAACCACTCCATTTCAGAACGAACTTCCTACGAACCTGAATTGTCCGATTTCATGGACCAATCGATATCGGATTGAGTCCAAAACTTGGGGAACAACACAATATGGTGGGAGGAGTCATTTGGTTGTTTTTGAGTGAAATCCAATGGCTAAAACTATGCAATACACCAACCACTCCATTTCAGAACGAACTTCCTACGAACCTGAATAGTCCGATTTCTTGGACCAATCGATATCGGATTGAGTCCAAAACTTGTGGGAACATCATAATATGGTGGGAGGAGTCATTTGGTTGGTTTGAGTGAAATCCAATGTCTAAAACTATGCAATACACCAACCACTCCATTTTCAGAACGAACTTCCTACGAACCTGAATTGTCCGATTTCATGGACCAATCGATATCGGATTGAGTCCAAAACTTGGGGAACAACATAATATGGTGGGAGGAGTCATTTGGTTGGTTTTGAGTGAAATCCAATGGCTAAAACTATGCAATACACCAACCACTCCATTTCAGAACGAACTTCCTACGAACCTGAATCGTCCGATTTCATGGACCAATCGATATCGGATTGAGTCCAAAACTTGGGGAACAACATAATATGGTGGGAGGAGTCATTTGGTTGGTTTGAGTGAAATCCAATGGCTAAAACTATGCAATACACCAACCACTCCATTTCAGAACGAACTTCCTACGAACCTGAATAGTCCGATTTCATGGACCAATCGATATCGGATTGAGTCCAAAACTTGGGAACACATAATATGGTGGGAGGAGTCATTTGGTTGGTTTTGAGTGAAATCTGATGCTAAAACTATGCAACACACCAACCACTCCATTTCAGAACGAACTTCCTACGAACCTGAATTGTCCGATTTCATGGACCAATCGATATCGGATTGAGTCCAAACTTGGGGAACAACATAATATGGTGGGGAGGGGTCAGTTGGTTGTTAGGAATTGAATCAACAAGTTTTTGGCGCCGTTGCCGGGGAACCGATAACGATGGTGCTATAGTTAGATTACTTTGATTGTTTTGTTTTTGTTTGTTTCATTTGTTTCTTTTCTTTGGTTTTTCTTTTAGTATTCAGTTTTTGTATTTAGTTGTTATCTCCATTGAAAGGACTAAATTGAGTTCCTTGGTGTGTGCATGTCCGAATCTAACCAGGAGCAAAGTTCACCTGAGCCACTTTCACCAAGAACCGCTGCTGTACGTGCTGGTTTGAGGAGGAATTATAGTTCTTCAAGCGCTGATTCTAGAAGTTCCGAATCTGAAGGTTCAAGCACGATGGCAGAGATTCCGAACAACAACAATAATGTTGAAGGAGGTGGTGCGCTTGTTGTCCAACCTCGAAAACCCCTGCGTGAGTTTTCCATTCCCAAAGTCACCGATCAACCTTCGTGCATCGTCTATCCTCAACTCACAGTTGACAGGTTTGAGCTTAAAAGTGGTATGATTCATCTTCTTCCAACTTATTATGGTAATACCATTGAGGATCCTTACATGCATATTAAGCAATTCTTTGAAATATGTGCTACGATCAAAATTCATGGCCTTGATGATGAGCAGATTAAGATGAGGCTATTCCCATTCAGTTTAAAAGATAAAGCTAAGTCTTGGTTATACTCTTTGCCTAATGCTTCAATTCATACTTGGGAAGAGCTTTCTAATAAGTTTTTGTAGAAATTCTTTCCGGCTCAAAAGACTAACAAGATTAGAAAGGAAATCCTTGGTTTCACACAAAAGGAAGGAGAAGCTTTTCATGAATGTTGGGAGAGGTACAAGGAGATGATAAGTTCTTGCCCACACCACAACATAGAGAGTTGGATGCAAATGCAATCTTTCTATGAAGGTTTGCTTGATTCCGAAAGGATGATGGTAGATGCAACAAGTGGAGAAGGACTGATGAACAAAACAGCAGATGAGGCTTTTACTCTCTTTGAATCCTTGAGTGCTAACTCTCAACAATGGAGCCACAATAAAGGAAGAGGAGCTCCTATGAAAGCTGTGGTCTCTGAGGTAAGTACTAATAATGAGATTGCTGCAAAACTTGATGTTATGTGTTCTTTGCTTCAACAGGCAGTGACTGGCCCTCTAGGAAACAAAGTAGAAGTTTAAGATCAATCTTTTGCAGAGCACATGCTAGAACAAGCAAATGCCCTTCAAGCAAGGAATCCTAATAATGATCCTTACTCAAACACGTACAATCCGGGGTGGAGAAATCATCCTAATTTCAAGTGGAGCAATAACCCAAATGTGCAACAATCTCAAGGACCTCCCCCAGGATTTCAAATACAACAAAGGCAATTCCAGCAAGCTCCCCAACAAGTGCAAGAGCAAAGGGGTGATCAAATGGGAGAATTGCAAGACATGTTCAAGAAGTTCATGGGGCAACAGATGCAAACCAATCAGAATCTTCAAAATGCAGTGAACAAACTAGAAGTGCAAGTTGGGCAGATTGCATCCTCCATGAGCAATAGGGCATCCGGAACTTTCCCAAGCCAAACAGAGGTGAATCCAAGGCATCAAGAGCATGCTAAAGCAGTACACATCTTGAGAAGTGGTAAACAAGTTGATAACAAGGTTGGAGATGTCAATGAAGAGCAAGAAGATGGAGAAAACGTGGAGATCAATCAGCCACCACATGCACAACCCACAACTTCCAACAAACAGTCCCTCAATCCTTCTGGAAAGAGCACAAACCCTAAGGTATCATCTAATGCTAATCAAGTTCCAATTTCAACTAATGCTTTTAGGCCTACTGCACCCTTTCCCAGCAGGTTATCAAAGTCAAAGAAAGATCAAGGCTTGGATGAGATAATGGAAACATTCAAGAAGGTGCAAATCAACATCCCATTGCTCAATGCCATTGCTCAGATTCCAAAGTATGCAAAATTTTTGAAGGATCTATGCACTAACAAGAGGAGATTCAAAGAGCATGAACAAGTTGCATTGAGTGAAGAGGTAAGTGCAGTGTTACAAAGAAAGCTACCTCCAAAGCTAAAGGATCCAGGTTCGTTTTCTATACCTTGCATAGTTGGTGATTTTAAGTTTCAAAAAGCTTTGCTTGATCTTGGTGCTTCTATAAACCTTATGCCATATCATGTTTATGAGAAACTTAACCTTGGTGAGTTGCAAGCCACATCTGTGAGCATTCAATTGGCAGATAGAACTATTAGGTACCCTAAGGGCATTCTAGAAGATGTTTTGGTGAAAGTGGAAGAGCTAATTTTGCCAGCAGATTTCTTGGTGTTGGAAATGGAAGAAGCACCAATTCATGACAATCAGTTACCACTCATTCTAGGTCGGCCATTCATGGCAACTGCCGGTGCTATTATTGATGTGAAGAAGGGTACATTGACCATGAACGTGTTTGATGAGACAATAGCATTCAAAGTGTTTGAAGCCTCCAAGTTTCCAAGTGATGAGCATGAAGTTTTCCAGCTTGATGCAATTGATACTATGGTGAAAGAAGCACTGCCAATGAGTTATTTGGAGCCCATTGAAGCATGCATCACACAAAGCATAAGGAAAGAAGAAGTGGACAGCTTAGAGGCTGTGATATCTCCTTTACTTCTTGAGCTTGTTTGCAGCATGGATAGCTACATATAGTTGGAAAGAGGTATGAAAACCAATTTGAATCATTACCCCCACCTACTAATAAGGTTTTACCTTCTATTGTGCAGGCACCAGAGTTGGAATTAAAGGAATTGCCAAAACACCTTAAATATGCTTATTTAGGTGAAAATGAGACTCTACCTGTTATCATTGCCTCACACCTCGAACCAAATGATGAGAAGAAGCTTTTGAGAGTTCTAAAAGAGCACAAAACTGCAATTGGGTGGAGCATTGCAGATATCAAAGGCATAAGCCCAACACTGTGCATGCACAAGATATTATTGGAAGACAATGCAATGCCTAAGAGGGATGCCCAAAGACGTCTCAATCCAAACATGAAGGAGGTGGTAAGGAAAGAGGTAATGAAGCTTTTAGATGTTGGTATTATTTACCCTATATCTGATAGTAAATGGGTGAGCCCAGTGCAAGTTGTCCCCAAGAAGTCAGGTATCACAGTGGTGAAGAATGAAGCAAACGAGCTTGTACCTACACGGGTGACCACGGGCTGGAGAGTTTGCATTGATTATAGGAAGCTCAACACAGCAACAAGCAAGGATCACTTCCCTCTTCCATTCATTGATCAGATGCTTGAGAGATTGGCTGGCCATAGCCACTATTGCTTCCTTGATGGATATTCAGGCTACAACCAAATCGCCATAGCCCCAGAGGATCAAGAGAAGACGACCTTCACATGTCCCTTTGGCACTTTCGCTTATAGGAGGATGCCTTTTGGTCTCTGTAACGCCCCAGCCACTTTTCAAAGGTGCATGATGAGCATTTTCTCCGACATGGTAGAAAGGTTCATTGAGGTATTCATGGATGACTTCTCTGTCTTTGGTGATTCTTTTGATCAATGCTTGCATAACTTATCCAAGGTGTTGGCTAGATGTGAACAGACTAACCTTGTGCTTAATTGGGAAAAATGTCATTTTATGGTTAACCAAGGCATAGTTCTTGGTCATGTCATCTCTAGTAAAGGAATCGAGGTAGATAAAGTTAAGATTGATTTGATTGCCCCATGCCCTCACCTACTTCTATAAAAGAAGTACGTTCTTTCCTTGGCCATGAAGGTTTCTATAGGCGTTTCATTAAGGAATTTTCTAAGATTGCGAGGCCTTTGTGCAATCTCCTTGCCAAGGACATGGATTTTGTCTTTGATCAAAACTGTGAGAATGCTTTCAATGCTTTGAAGAAGATGCTCACAACTGCCCCAATCATTATACCACCGGATTGGAGCTTGCCTTTGAATTGATGTGTGACGCCTCAGATTATGCTGTTGGAGCCGTTTTGGGATAGCGAATTGATAAGAAGCCACATGCCATCTACTATGCTAGTAGAACCCTGAATGATGCCCAACTCAACTATTCCACCACAGAGAAGGAGCTATTAGCTGTCATATTTGCTTTGGAAAAGTTCAGATCATATTTGATTACTAACGAGGTTATTGTTTACACTGATCATGCAGCAATAAAATACTTGTTAGCCAAGAAGGATGCCAAGCCACGACTCATTAGATGGATTCTCTTATTGCAAGAGTTTAACCTGGAGATAAAAGATAAGAAAGGAAGTGAGAATGTCGTGGCTAATCACTTGAGTAGATTGGTGCATGTATCTAATGAAGAGGAGGATTCATTGCCATTGCATGAAAGCTTCCCTGATGAGCAACTCTTCTCCATTTGTGCTTTGAATTCTCTCAATCCATTGCCTTGGTTTGCTGATATTGTTAACTATTTGTGCACTAATGAACTCCCTACAGGGTTATCTACGTTCCAACGTGACAAGCTTAGGAACCAAGCAAGATACTACTTTTGGTTGGTTTTGAGTGAAATCCAATGGCTAAAACTATGCAATACACCAACCACTCCATTTCGGAACGAACATCCTACGAACCTTAATAGTCTGATTTCATGGACCAATCGATATCGGATTGAGTCCAAAACTTGGGGAACATCATAATTGGGTGGGAGGATTCATTTGGTTGGTTTTGATGAAATCCAATGGCTAAAACTATGCAAACACAACACTCCATTTTAGAACGAACTTCCTACGAACCTGAATAGTCCGATTTCATGGACCAATCGATATCGGATTGACCCCACACAATTTCGGCCAACAGCTTAATGTGGTGGAGGAGTCACTTGGTGTGGTTTTGAGTAGAAAATCCATGCATTAAAACTATGGCATAGACCAATCACTCCTTTCCATAACGAACTTACTACGAACTTGCTTGTTCCGATTTCACGACCATTCTATATGGATTGAGTCCAAAACTTGGGGAACAGCGTCATATGGTTTGAGGAGTCAGTTGGTTGGTTTTTGAGTGAACTCCAATTGCTAACCTGTGCAATACCCAACCACTCCATTTCAGAACGAACTTCCTACGAACCTGAATAGTCCGATTTCATGGACCAATCGATATCGGATTGAGTCCAAAACTTGGGGAACAACATAATATGGTGGGAGGAGTCATTTGGTTGGTTTTGAGTGAAATCCAATGGCTAAAACTATGCAATACACCAACCACTCCATTTCAGAACGAACTTCCTACGAACCTGAATAGTCCGATTTCATGGACCAATCGATATCGGATTGAGTCCAAAACTTGGGGAACAACATAATATGGTGGGAGGAGTCATTTGGTTGGTTTTGAGTGAAATCCAATGGCTAAAACTATGCAATACACCAACCACTCCATTTCAGAACGAACTTCCTACGAACCTGAATAGTCCGATTTCATGGACCAATCGATATCGGATTGAGTCCAAAACTTGGGGAACAACATAATATGGTGGGAGGAGTCATTTGGTTGGTTTTGAGTGAAATCCAATGGCTAAAACTATGCAATACACCAACCACTCCATTTCAGAACGAACTTCCTACGAACCTGAATAGTCCGATTTCATGGACCAATCGATATCGGATTGAGTCCAAAACTTGGGGAACAACATAATATGGTGGGAGGAGTCATTTGGTTGGTTTTGAGTGAAATCCAATGGCTAAAACTATGCAATACACCAACCACTCCATTTCAGAACGAACTTCCTACGAACCTGAATAGTCCGATTTCATGGACCAATCGATATCGGATTGAGTCCAAAACTTGGGGAACAACATAATATGGTGGGAGGAGTCATTTGGTTGGTTTTGAGTGAAATCCAATGGCTAAAACTATGCAATACACCAACCACTCCATTTCAGAACGAACTTCCTACGAACCTGAATAGTCCGATTTCATGGACCAATCGATATCGGATTGAGTCCAAAACTTGGGGAACAACATAATATGGTGGGAGGAGTCATTTGGTTGGTTTTGAGTGAAATCCAATGGCTAAAACTATGCAATACACCAACCACTCCATTTCAGAACGAACTTCCTACGAACCTGAATAGTCCGATTTCATGGACCAATCGATATCGGATTGAGTCCAAAACTTGGGGAACAACATAATATGGTGGGAGGAGTCATTTGGTTGGTTTTGAGTGAAATCCAATGGCTAAAACTATGCAATACACCAACCACTCCATTTCAGAACGAACTTCCTACGAACCTGAATAGTCCGATTTCATGGACCAATCGATATCGGATTGAGTCCAAAACTTGGGGAACAACATAATATGGTGGGAGGAGTCATTTGGTTGGTTTTGAGTGAAATCCAATGGCTAAAACTATGCAATACACCAACCACTCCATTTCAGAACGAACTTCCTACGAACCTGAATAGTCCGATTTCATGGGACCAATCGATATCGGATTGAGTCCAAAACTTGGGGAACAACATAATATGGTGGGAGGAGTCATTTGGTTGGTTTTGAGTGAAATCCAATGGCTAAAACTATGCAATACACCAACCACTCCATTTCAGAACGAACTTCCTACGAACCTGAATAGTCCGATTTCATGGACCAATCGATATCGGATTGAGTCCAAAACTTGGGGAACAACATAATATGGTGGGAGGAGTCATTTGGTTGGTTTTGAGTGAAATCCAATGGCTAAAACTATGCAATACACCAACCACTCCATTTCAGAACGAACTTCCTACGAACCTGAATAGTCCGATTTCATGGACCAATCGATATCGGATTGAGTCCAAAACTTGGGGAACAACATAATATGGTGGGAGGAGTCATTTGGTTGGTTTGGAGTGAAATCCAATGGCTAAAACTATGCAATACACCAACCACTCCATTTCAGAACGAACTTCCTACGAACCTGAATAGTCCGATTTCATGGACCAATCGATATCGGATTGAGTCCAAAACTTGGGGAACAACATAATATGGTGGGAGGAGTCATTTGGTTGGTTTTGAGTGAAATCCAATGGCTAAAACTATGCAATACACCAACCACTCCATTTCAGAACGAACTTCCTACGAACCTGAATAGTCCGATTTCATGGACCAATCGATATCGGATTGAGTCCAAAACTTGGGGAACAACATAATATGGTGGGAGGAGTCATTTGGTTGGTTTTGAGTGAAATCCAATGGCTAAAACTATGCAATACACCAACCACTCCATTTCAGAACGAACTTCCTACGAACCTGAATAGTCCGATTTCATGGACCAATCGATATCGGATTGAGTCCAAAACTTGGGGAACAACATAATATGGTGGGAGGAGTCATTTGGTTGGTTTTGAGTGAAATCCAATGGCTAAAACTATGCAATACACCAACCACTCCATTTCAGAACGAACTTGCTACGAACCTGAATAGTCCGATTTCATGGACCAATCGATATCGGATTGAGTCCAAACTTGGGGAACAACATAATATGGTGGGAGGAGTCATTTGGTTGGTTTTGGAGTGAAATCCAATGGCTAAAACTATGCAATACACCAACCACTCCATTTCAGAACGAACTTCCTACGAACCTGAATAGTCCGATTTCATGGACCAATCGATATCGGATTGAGTCCAAAACTTGGGGAACAACATAATATGGTGGGAGGAGTCATTTGGTTGGTTTTGAGTGAAATCCAATGGCTAAAACTATGCAATACACCAACCACTCCATTTCAGAACGAACTTCCTACGAACCTGAATAGTCCGATTTCATGGACCAATCGATATCGGATTGAGTCCAAAACTTGGGGAACAACATAATATGGTGGGAGGAGTCATTTGGTTGGTTTTGAGTGAAATCCAATGGCTAAAACTATGCAATACACCAACCACTCCATTTCAGAACGAACTTCCTACGAACCTGAATAGTCCGATTTCATGGACCAATCGATATCGGATTGAGTCCAAAACTTGGGGCACAACATAATATGGTGGGAGGAGTCATTTGGTTGGTTTTGAGTGAAATCCAATGGCTAAAACTATGCAATACACCAACCACTCCATTTCAGAACGAACTTCCTACGAACCTGAATAGTCCGATTTCATGGACCAATCGATATCGGATTGAGTCCAAAACTTGGGGAACAACATAATATGGTGGGAGGAGTCATTTGGTTGGTTTTGAGTGAAATCCAATGGCTAAAACTATGCAATACACCAACCACTCCATTTCAGAACGAACTTCCTACGAACCTGAATAGTCCGATTTCATGGACCAATCGATATCGGATTGAGTCCAAAACTTGGGGAACACATAATATGGTGGGAGGAGTCATTTGGTTGGTTTGAGTGAAATCCAATCTCTAAAACTATGCAATACACCAACCACTCCATTTCAGAACGAACTTCCTACGAACCTGAATAGTCCGATTTCAAGGACCAATCGATATCGGATTGAGTCCAAAACGTGGGGAACAACATAATATGGTCACTACTACAAAAAAGGAAAAACACGACGGGAATTCACCGTCGTGTATTCTGTTTTCAAATGGTCGTGGAATCCACCGACATCTTTTCCATAACCAAACCACGACGGTGAATAACCGTCGTTGTTAAAACAAAAAACATCATCAAAAAATAAAAACCGACGTCTTTGTGCTGCAAAAAGACATAAAAAAAACAGTCGAGGATGAGAATAGACGACCAACTCCAACAAAAAAAACGTCGTTAAAAAGGAAACAGATGACAAATATAAATACGACGTCTTTACAATCATAATAGACGACGTTATTGACACCTACTACGTCACAACATTTCCCACAACCGTCGTAAAATAAATTTTCCACTTCGATTTTTCTATGAATTATGACGTGGAAATAGATGTCAGGGTCATTAATTACGACGCATGTATTTACAGAGACGACGTTGAATTGGATAAATAACGTCGGTTCCAAATAAATGAGAGCCGTATTACAGAATTTATACGTCATATTTTGAAAATAAACCGACGTGAAAAAAGATGGTGTCATTAATTACGACACAGTAATTTACAATGACGACGTTGTAGTCTATATACAACGTCGTTACCCTTAAAAAGACCGTCGTCTTTAATAATTTATACGTCTTCATTTAACAAATTGACGTCGTCTAATTCATATATCTTAACGTCGACAAGTTTAATGGACTTCAAATACCGTCGTAAAATAAATTTTCCACTTCGATTTTTCTACGAATTATGACGTGGAAATAGATGTCAGGTTCATTAATTACGACGTATGTATTTACTGAGACGACGTTGAAATGAATAAACAACGTCGGTTCCAAATAAATGAGAGCCGTATTACAGAATTTATACGTCATATTTTGAAAATAAACGACGTGGAAAAAATGATGGGGTCATTAATTACGACACAGTAATTTATAAGGACGACGTTGTCGTCTATATACAACGTCGGTACCATGAAAAAGACCGTCGTGTTTAATAATTTATACGTCTTCATTAAAAAAATTAACGTCGTCTAATTCATAAATCTTAACGTCGACAAATTTAATGGACTTCAAATACCGTCGTGAATTCATCCTTTTCCACTTCGTTTATGAAAGAACATGCGACGTGGTAAATTCATGACGACGTCGTCTTTTGTAACGTTCAGGTTAAAGTTCTCGTCTTTTAGACGTCGGTGTTATGGGATTGGAGTCGTGTTATTTTGAATTACATGGCGGTTCTTTATGCTTGTCCGACGTGTTATCCTGGATAACTGTTTCACAATAGCGTCGTGGTTCTTCATTGTTACTTTGCTTTAAGACGTCGGTAAATATATTGCGGTCGTTGAATGCTCCAAAACGTCGTTATTTATTAGAACAGACGTTTGTTTTTCACATTTTTATCAAAACCGTCGTGTTTGTAATCTGGAACCAGTAATTTTTGTACTGATTGTTTTGTGGCCAAAACCTGTATAATGAAAGTGAAGAAATCACATTACAATATATTACAAAATTAATGTCATACACTGCCAATTACATAAAGCATCATTCAACCCATATATCTTCACACCCATCTCGAATATTTTGACTCCCTAACTCAACCACCACTTCATCAAATGTGTCAACATTTGGCATCCCCCTAGTAAATGGCTCACACTCAATTCTCACATCACCTAAGACATCATCACCAATAACATCATTATATTCTCTATTAGGCATTGATAACACTACCGACCAACCACGATGCATCGGGTCGTCAACAAAAAATACTTGTTTGACTTGAGAAGCCAAAACAAATTGGTCATTCCTATGTCCAATTTTACTCAAATCTACAAGGGTAAATCCAAGTTCGTCCACTACAAGACCAGAAGTATTATCAATCCAATCACACCTAAAGACTGGGATTGTAAACTTTTGGTAGTCAAGGTCCCAAATTTCTTGAATGACACCATAGAAACCCATATTTGAGAGAATTGGGTTTTTATCCTTGGCACTAGCAACTTGCATAGTATGTGCAAGTAAATAAACTCCACTATTTTGAGTTGTCCGCACATCATCTTGTGCCTTGATGTTGAATTTAATACCTTTAATGAGATAGCTCCTATATAATGGCACTGCCATGTTTGGACCAGCTGCTAGCCACCTTAAATTTTCTGATACGCCATGATTGTCTTCCTCATTAAGTTCACTTTGAACCTGCAAATTAATCATAACTTAATTCAATCTAACATAGAAAGAAGAAAATTAAAAGTCCAATATGTTATTCAATAACATATACCTTGAAGCGTAGCCATTGAATGAAAGTGCTATTGTGCTTATCCTGCAGCCACTTTGTTCTCTTTCTAAATTTTGGATAAGCGGTCTGGATGTGGATCATATGTTGCCTACATGACACACAAAATTCAAGTATTACGGTCCCAAACATATAAGATAAACATAAGATAATTTAAAATGGAAACTTAAAGAATAAAACTCATACGTACTCGATATAAGGTAGGACTTCCTCCGTATTCTCCAAGACATATAGATGTGCTTGGTTCAACAGGTCCCGATCAACTACGCTCACTGTGCAACCTGATAATGGCTTTGAAACTCCCATCTTTTGGCTTGAAGGCACTCCAACTGTACTAACATCAGATAAATGCTCGGTACAAAACTCTACAGCTTCTTCAGCTATATACCACTCAGCAATGCAACCTTCGGGACGAGTACGATTCTGAACATACCCCTTTAGCACTTTCATATATCTTTCAAACGGATACATCCATCTAAAATATACTGGCCCACACAGACGAACTTCTCTGACAAGATGTACTACTAGATGAACCATGATATCAAAGAATGAAGGGGGAAAGTACTTCTCAAGCAAACACAAAGTAACTACTACATCTTCTTCCAACTTATCTAGCTTGGGAACATCAACAGTCTTTGCACATATAGCATTGAAGAAGAAGCACAAACGAGTTATTGCATACCTTGCAGGCTTCTCCAAAACAGAACGAATTGCCACAGGGAGCAATTGTTGCATTAAGGTATGACAATCATGTGATTTAAGGCTAAGAAGTCTTGAATCTTGTAAAGATACAAGATTTTTTATATTTGAAGAATAACCTTCAGGGACCTTCATACCATAGAAAGAATTGCAAACCTCTCTCTTCTCTGCTCTTGACAAATTCCAAGGCCCGGGAGGCAAACGAGTACGTCTTTCTCCATACTCGGGTTGCAAATCAGTTTTGACCCCTATGTTCAATAAATCTAATCGAGCAGCAATCCCATCTTTATTTTTTCCAGGGATCTCCAGCAATGTACCAATGATACTATCGCAAACATTCTTCTCAATGTGCATAACATCTAGGACATGCCTCACAGGAAGGTATTTCCAATACTCGAGATCAAAGAATATTGATTTCTTCTTCCAACAAACTCTGTCACCATCTTCAACCATATGCAGCACTTCTTCTCCGGTTAATGGCTCAGGAGGCGTGCCATATTCAGGTTTCCCATTAAAAGCTGCACGTTGCCTCCTATATGGATGATTGATCGGTAACCATTTTCTATGCCCAATGTAACAAATTTTGTGGCCATTTTTCAACCTGTGACTAGGTGTATCATCGCCGCATATTGGACAAGCTTTATATCCTTTAACAACACAACCAGATAAGTTTCCATAGGCGGGGAAATCATTAATTGTCCACATTAATGCAGCTCTGAGTGTAAAGTATTCTCCATTATGTGCATCATACACTCCTCCAATCCCATCCCACAAAGATTTTAAATCATCAATCAAAGGCTCCAAGTAGACGTCTATATCATTTCCGGGCTGTTTAGGACCGGAAATCAATAAGGTCAACATCATGAACTTTCGTTTCATGCACAGCCATGGAGGGAGATTATATGTAACTAAGATAACTGGCCAGCAACTATATCTGCTACTTAGAGAACTGTGGGGATTGAATCCATCAGATGAAAGAGCCAATCTCAAGTTTCTCGGCTCATTACCAAACTCGGGCCATTTATCATCAAGAAGTTTCCAAGACGGGGAATCCGCTGGATGAGACATATAACCGTCAATTGATTTTCTAGCAGCATGCCAAGTCAAACTCTTAGCGGTCTCATGTGATCGAAACATCCTTTTAAACCTTGGAATTGGAGGAAAATACCACACCACCTTCGCTGGCACACCCTCTTTCAAGATTGAATCTTTGCCTTCCTTCCACCTTGAGATACCACAATTAGGACAATGAGTTAAATCCTCATACTCCTTCCTATACAAGATGCAATCATTGGGGCATGCGTGCATTTTCTCATAACTCAGCCCCAATGCACACAAAGTCTTTTTGCCTCATACATAGAGGCCGGTATTGTATTTCCTTCTGGAAGCAAATCGCCTTGAAGTATCAATAATTCTGTAAAACAAACATCACTCATCCCATATTTTGCCTTCAAATTATACAACTTCACTAATGCCGATAACTTCGTGTACTTTCTACAACCAGGGTACAATGGTTCATCCCTCCCCCCCCATAATCCCAACACATTGGCAAATAAGGATCAGGATCCAAAATCACCAAAATCATTATCATCCATCTCTATTTCTTCAGACACAAAACTGTACCTACTATGGTCATCATCTTCTTCAACATTTCTACTAGCATTAGTAGCTGCTTCCCAAGGTTCTCCGTGAAATGTCCAATTCTTATAGCTTTGGTCAACTCCATTAAAGTATAAGTGATCCCTTATAATTCCAACCCCAAACAATTTCAAATTAACACATTTAACACATGGACAACGGATATGTGTGGTAGTTAGAAGATTTTCTACAGAAAAGTTCAAAAATGCTTCCACCCCTAACTCATATGCCTTCGATCTTCTATCCGAGTGCATCCATGACTTATCCATCTCCGACACTATACCCTATTATATATAATAAAGTGAAAAGACAAGCAATGACCATCACTATAGCAGATTATATAAAGTCTAATAGCAAGTAATATACAACAAAGACGACGGTTTTTAAACAAAAACAGACGTATTTGACATATATAGACGACGGATTTTACGTCGTCTAATTATAACCACGACGGTAGTTAAATAACACCGTCGTGTATAAGTAATAAAAACGACGGTTTAAAGTAAAAACCGTCGTCGTATGCCTGAAAACGCGTCGATATCCAGTTTATTTTCAAGATCCCAAAACCCTATTAAGAACACAACATAGACATGAAACCAAGCAAGAAACCAACATATACATGAAACCAACATATACTAAGCATGAAAACAATAAATCCATTCCCAATTCAACATAACAGAGAGTGATTAAAAGATCCGACAAAATGAAATCCATTCCATATTCAACATAACAGAGAGTGATCAAGAAAACATTAAACAGAAAATCCATGAACCCATACCTCCAACAACATTATTAACAGATCGCAAAACATATACCTAAAACCCTTTAACAAAACAACGTAATATATCATTCAATGAATTTACAAGGGGAAGAGAGGGTTTGTACTTACAGGTTGGCAGAGCTCACAGATTATGACCAAATTGGATTTGACACAGCCTGGCCCAACTTTGAATTAGAGATGAAGTGAGAGAGCGAAATGTTATGTTGCGCGAAATCTGAAAATTTTAGGGTTCAGGGTTAGAAGTATAAAAATAAGAGCCAAATCTGAAAATTTTAGGTCCCGCGAATATTTTAAGAAAGCGCGCTTTTTAAAACATCGACCGAAAAAAAACACGCGTCGTTAAAATTTAACATTAAACATGACGCTTATTACATTAAGGACGTCGTGGTAAAACTATGTACCACGCAAAATCAAAAAAGGCGTTAAAACTATGAAAAACCACGTCGGAGTTAAGTAATTAACGACGTTGTAAATAATAATAAACGACTTACGTGTAAACAAAACGTTGTTTAAAAGAGAAACCACGTCGGATTTTTCACCATACGACGTAAACTCAATATTCCACGACTCAATCACCGTCGTTAAAAGTAATACCCTAAACTTTAAAACCATAAATTATATATTTGTAAAATTTAATTTTATAAAATTGTTTATGGTTTTACATCCTAATAAATAACAAACATAAACCCTAAACCCCAAAAATTATACTTTAACCATAAACCCTAACAACCCTAAACCCCAAACCCTAAACCCTAAACCATCAAACTATATAAGTGATGCTATGACTCATCAAAACAATTTTATTTTGGTTGGTCATTTTAAACTTTTATTACACAAACTGCATTTTTTTGGGGTTTAGGGGGAAGAAAATATATCAATGACTTCATAGGAGTTGAAGTTGAATTTTTTGAATTTATTTTAAATTTATTTTTAAAATTTTGAATTAAAAATAATAAAATATTTTTATATCAACAACAAACCACGGCGGGGTTAAGTAACTAACGACGTTGTAAATAATAATAAACGACTTACGTGTAAACAAAACGTCGTTTAAAAGAGAAACCACGTCGGATTTTTCACCATACGACGTAAACTCAATATTCCACGACTCAATTACCGTTGTTAAAAGTAATACCCTAAACTTTAAAACCATAAATTATATATTTGTAAAATTTAATTTTATAAAATTGTTTATGGTTTTACATCCTAATAAATAACAAACATAAACCCTAAACCCCAAAAATTATACTTTAACCATAAACCCTAACAACCCTAAACCCCAAACCCTAAACCCTAAACCATCAAACTATATAAGTGATGCTATGACTCATCAAAACAATTTTATTTTGGTTGGTCATTTTAAACTTTTATTACACAAACTGCATTTTTTTGGGGTTTAGGGGGAAGAAAATATATCAATGACTTCATAGGAGTTGAAGTTGAATTTTTTGAATTTATTTTAAATTTATTTTTAAAATTTTGAATTAAAAATAATAAAATATTTTTATATCAACAACAAACCACGGCGGGGTTAAGTAACTAACGACGTTGTAAATAATAATAAACGACTTACGTGTAAACAAAACGTCGTTTAAAAGAGAAACCACGTCGGATTTTTCACCATACGACGTAAACTCAATATTCCACGACTCAATCACCGTCGTTAAAAGTAATACCCTAAACTTTAAAACCATAAATTATATTTGTAAAATTTAATTTTATAAAATTGTTTATGGTTTTACATCCTAATAAATAACAAACATAAACCCTAAACCCCAAAAATTATACTTTAACCATAAACCCTAATAAATAACAACCCTAAACCCCAAACCCTAAACCCTAAACCATCAAACTATATAAGTGATGCTATGACTCATCAAAACAATTTTATTTTGGTTGGTCATTTTAAACTTTTATTACACAAACTGCATTTTTTTGGGGGTTTAGGGGGAAGAAAATATATCAATGACTTCATAGGAGTTGAAGTTGAATTTTTTGAATTTATTTTAAATTTATTTTTAAAATTTTGAATTAAAAATAATAAAATATTTTTATATCAACAACAAACCACGGCGGGGTTAAGTAACTAACGACGTTGTAAATAATAATAAACGACTTACGTGTAAACAAAACGTCGTTTAAAAGAGAAACCACGTCGGATTTTTCACCATACGACGTAAACTCAATATTCCACGACTCAATCACCGTTGTTAAAAGTAATACCCTAAACTTTAAAACCATAAATTATATATTTGTAAAATTTAATTTTATAAAATTGTTTATGGTTTTACATCCTAATAAATAACAAACATAAACCCTAAACCCCAAAAATTATACTTTAACCATAAACCCTAATAAATAACAACCCTAAACCCCAAACCCTAAACCCTAAACCCTAAACCATCAAACTATATAAGTGATGCTATGACTCATCAAAACAATTTTATTTTGGTTGGTCATTTTAAACTTTTATTACACAAACTGCATTTTTTTGGGGTTTTAGGGGGAAGAAAATATATCAATGACTTCATAGGAGTTGAAGTTGAATTTTTTGAATTTATTTTAAATTTATTTTTAAAATTTTGAATTAAAAATAATAAAATATTCTTATATCAACAACAAACCACGACGTTGTAAATAATAATAAACGACTCACATGTAAAAAGGACGTCGTTTAAAAGAGAAACCATGGCGGATGTTTCACCATCTGACGTAAAATACATATTCCACGACCGAATCACCGTCGTTAAAAGGTATTAACCTAAACCCTAATAAACGACTTACTTGTTCAAAAGGACGTCGTTTAAAAGCGAAACCATGGCGAAATTGTCATCAAAACGACGTCTTATGTACGTCCCATCACGTCTAAATATCATTTTATGTCGTTGGAAAGTTATTACACGTCGGTTACGCAATTTGTTTTTTCTTTTATATTATGAAAACCTCAGCAAATTTTCAGGGAAAAAAAGGATGTATATTATAGACAAAATTTGTACATTATATATTATAGACAAAATTAGTACATATAAAAATATCAAATGTTCCAAAAATCCTCTAATCCATATGAAGGCAAACAAACTCTGCCCATTCTTTCCTGACTTCATCAATGGCTGCTTGGGGGTATGGCGCTTGATCTTTTCCCTTGGCAAACTGCAATCCATAAACAATGATTATTAAGCTTTACAAAATAAAAAGAAATTCAGACACAGACGACGTTTTTTTTCATAACCGACGTAGTATATCGATTCAACGACGGTAATTTTAAATGACCGTCGTTGATAATACAAAAAACCACATAAAATGTTTCTGAAAATTTTATTCTTACCTTCTTCTCAAACTCCAAGGAAGGATCCATGATGATGTCCCTCATGAAGCGCATCACATAATACCCGCATTCGACACTGCTGGGTTGCTTTGGTGTGCCTGGCAGAGTTTTCCAAATTGGTGCTTTACGGCCTGGTCTGCCTATGTGGGAATTATAAATTTTTAAAGCACTGTTCACGATGTTTTTGCCCTCCTCATCAACCACACGATTTCCAGGCAGAGGATCCAGAAAATAGACGGTTTCCCTCTTTGCCCTCACAATCAGCAAGACCCAATGACGGCTGCACAAAAATAAAATAAAAAACGACGGTTATTTATAAAAACCGACGTATTATATAGTTTCACACGACGTAATAACTTAATCATCGACGTGATTATAAATTTATCACGACGATAATTAACTACCGACGTGGTTAGTTGTTTCAAACGACTCAATAAATAAATAACCGACGTGGTTAGATGTTTCAAACGACACAGAATTAGTTAAACAGTTTTATAAGTGAAAATCATACAAACAAAATCCTTTTAAGGAGACTAACCCTGGATTGTAAGGCATCATGAAAATCTGTTCACCATCTGTTTTCTGAAGTCGACTGGCTACAATTCGTGATCTGTCAGTTAGTGACCCAGCGTTGGCACTAACTTGAGCAGGGTCGATAAAGCCAACCATGCTGCACATATTTGCTTCTCTCAAAAGATCATATAAGCACCTAAATATATAAAACAAACGACGGTTATTTATACACAAACGACGTATTATACAATTTCACACGACGAACTGAAATAGAAACAGACGTGATAACTAATTTATCACGACGGTAAAAAAGAACGACGTGGTTAGTGGTTTAAAACGACGCAATAATTAAACAACCGACGTCTTATGATATAATGTTTGATATTTGATTAGGACAAACCTCATAAATACTGCAACCACAGTAGCCCCAATTTCTTCCATGCCTGCAAACTGTGTAATTTCTTCATGCAAGACGAAGGTACTTTGATCTGCACCAAACACCTCCTTCTCAATGTTGAAGGTCATGATCTTCCCCTGTGGCTTTAGTGTAGTTTCCACATAACCACAAAGGGATTGTAAGGAAGATGGCACCTCCACATTTGAATAATCAACTACTTCATTACCCTGTTTAAAGAAATAAAGCAAAATAAAATGACGTGGTAATTCATTAAAAACAACGGTTTAAATTAAAAAACGTCGTCTGATTATAATTTAAACGACGGTAATTAAATACCGTCGTTTTAGATAATTTATTACGTCGTAGAAAATAAATTCCGACGTCTAATGTGAAAACAAACGACGGTTTAAAGAAAAATATCGACGTCTGAAATGTGAAAAACAAATTAAAAAGGCAAAGTTATGAGAATATACCTCCTCGTCATGCTTTTCTTCATCTTGTTTTTCTTCTTTCTTCTCTTCATCATTTGTGTCTTCCTTTTTGCCTTCATCTTTTTTCTCTTTTTTTTCTTCCTTCTTCCCTTCATCTTTTTTTTCTCCCATCTTCTGTTCATCTTTATTTTCTTCTTTCTTCTCTTCATCTTGATTATCTAAAGCCCCAGATTTCTGTTTTAAATAATAAAGAAATATATATATAAGACAGATTGTACAGAGAGTAAAAAAATTAAACCAAAACGTCGTGGTAAGGCATAACATAAGACGGTATGTAAGAATTATGGACGTCTTAAAATTATTAAACGATGGTAAATAATAAACGTCGTGGTAATTGTATATTACGTCGTTAAGGACTAAAACCGTCGTCTAAAAACCACAAAGTACGACGTCTAATGGCGTGTAAAACAAGTAAACTAAATACGACGTGGTATTTAAATAAACACGACGGGTTATTTATAAAATCGTCGTGGTATGTTTTAAAACGACGGGTTTATTCATAATAACGACGTCTAATGTTTAAAAAAAAAAAGAGAATTCAAAGTTCAGATATGTTACCGTTTCTTCCTGCTGTTCCCCATTTCTGGCAGTATCATCCTCTAAATGTAGGGATCTCACTTCAGCCCCAGAACAGCTTGCTTTATCAGACATTGGATTTTTGGGACTTTGCTGTAGACCTTGGTTTTGACAAGGGCTAGTTTTCGGTTTAAGCATGCTTGGATCAAAATTGGGGATGAGGTGGGAAAGCTGACTTAGTAAATGTTCCCTCTCAGCCTCTACTAATTGTTTGGTTCTAGCTTCCATCTTCTTAGTCTCTTCTTGAAGGACAATTCTTACACTTTCCTTCAATTGATCAGCAAACTTTACCCTCTGTGGTCTAGGTAAATTGAAGAATTGCCTAGGGGAAATCCCAACACCTACCCCTCTTACTCTCCCTGGATGCTCGGGACCCAAAGCCAAGGTCAACACATCATTACTGCCAGATAAACTCAGACTGCCTTCAGCCACTTGTTTTTGCAATTCATCCTAAAACAAAGACATACAAAAAAGTCAGCACAAGAAAACACACGACGGTTATTTATAAACAAACGACGCATTATATAATTTCACACGACGCACCAATATAGAAATCGACGTTATAATATATTTATAACGACGTTAATTAAAACCGACGTGAGTTGTTTAAAACGACGCAATAAATAAACCACCGACGTCTTATGCTGTAATTACAGAAAACAGAGTTGTGATTCCAGATTTAGATCTTTCACGACGTTTTTGAGTCCAAAACTTGGGGAACAACATAATATGGTGGGAGGAGTCATTTGGTTGGTTTTGAGTGAAATCCAATGGCTAAAACTATGCAATACACCAACCACTCCATTTCTGAACGAACTTCCTACAAACCTGAATAGTCCGATTTCAAGGACCAATCGATATCGGATTGAGTCCAAAACTTGGGGAACAACATAATATGGTGGGAGGGGTCATTTGGTTGGTTTTGAGTGAAATCCAAAGGCTAAAACTATGCAATACACCAACCACTCCATTTTAGAACAAACTTCCTACGAACCTGAATAGTCCGATTTCAAGGACCAATCGATATCGGATTGAGTCCAAAACTTGGGGAACAACATAATATGGTGGGAGGAGTCATTTGGTTGGTTTTGAGTGAAATCCAATGGCTAAAACTATGCAATACACCAACAACTCCATTTCAGAACGAATTTCCTACGAACCTGAATAGTCCGATTTCATGGACCAATCGATATCGGATTGAGTCCAAAATTGGGGAACAACATAATATGGTGGGAGGAGTCCTTTGGTTGGGTTTGAGTGAAATCCAATGGCTAAAACTATGCAATACACCAACCACTCCATTTCAGAACGAACTTCCTACGAACCTGAATTGGCCGATTTCAAGGGACCAATCGATATCGGATTGAGTCCAAAACTTGGGGAACATCATAATATGGTGGGAGGAGTCATTTGGTTGGTTTGAGTGAAATCCAATCTCTAAAACTATGCAATACACCAACCACTCCATTTCAGAACGAACTTCCTACGAACCTGAATAGTCCGATTTCAAGGACCAATCGATATCGGATTGAGTCCAAAACTTGGGGAACAACATAATATGGTGGGAGGAGTCATTTGGTTGGTTTTGAGTGAAATCCAATGGCTAAAACTATGCAATACACCAACCACTACATTTCAGAACGAACTTCCTACGAACCTGAATTGTCCGATTTCATGGACCAATCGATATTGGATTGAGTCCAAAACTTGGGGAACAACATAATATGGTGGGAGGAGTCATTTGGTTGGTTTTGAGTGAAATCCAATGGCTAAAACTATGCAATTCACCAACCACTCCATTTCAGAACGAACTTCCTACGAACCTGAATTGTCCGATTTCAAGGACCAATCGATATCGGATTGAGTCCAAAACTTGGGGAACAACATAATATGGTGGGAGGAGTCATTTGGTTGGTTTTGAGTGAAATCCAATGGCTAAAACTATGCAATACACCAACCACTCCATTTCAGAACGAACTTCCTACGAACCTAAATTTTCCGATTTCAACGGACCAATCGATATCGGATTGAGTCCAAAACTTGGGGAACAACATAATATGGTGGGAGGAGTCATTTGGTTGGTTTTGAGTGAAATCCAATGGCTAAAACTATGCAATACACCAACCACTCCATTTCAGAACGAACTTCCTACGAACCTGAATTGTTCGATTTCAAGGACCAATCGATATCGGATTGAGTCCAAAACTTGGGGAACATCATAATATGGTGGGAGGAGTCATTTGGTTGGTTTTGAGTGAAATCCAATGGATAAAACTATGCAATACACCAACCACTCCATTTCAGAACGAACTTCCTACGAACCTGAATCGTCCAATTTCACGGACAAATCGAAATCGGATTGAGTCCAAAACTTGGGGAAACATCATAATATGGTGGGAGGAGTCATTTGGTTGGTTTTGAGTGAAATCCAATGGATAAAACTATGCAATACACCAACCACTCCATTTCAAAACGAACTTCCTACGAACCTGAATCGTTCAATTTCATGGACCAATCGATATCGGATTGAGTCCAAAACTTGGGGAACATCATAATATGGTGGGAGGAGTCATTTGGTTGGTTTTGAGTGAAATCCAATGGATAAAACTATGCAATACACCAACCACTCCATTTCAGAACGAACTTCCTACGAACCTGAATTGTCCAATTTTATGGACCAATCGATATCGGATTGAGTCCAAAACTTGGGGAACATCATAATATGGTGGGGGGAGTCATTTGGTTGGTTTTGAGTGAAATCCAATGGCTAAAACTATGCAATACACCAACCACTCCATTTCAGAACGAACTTCCTACGAACCTGAATGTCCGATTTCAACGACCAATCGATATCGGATTGAGTCCAAAACTTGGGGAACATTGTAATGTGGTTTGAGGAGTCATTTGGTTGGTTTTGAGTGAAATCCAATGGCTAAAACTATGCAATTCACCAACCACTCCATTTCAGAACGAACTTCCTACGAACCTAAATTTTCCGATTTCAACGACCAATCGATATCGGATTGAGTCCAAAACTTGGGGAACAACATAATATGGTGGGAGGAGTCATTTGGTTGGTTTTGAGTGAAATCCAATGGCTAAACCTATGCAATACACCAACCACTCCATTTCAGAACGAACTTCCTACGAACCTGAATTGTTCGATTTCAAGGACCAATCGATATCGGATTGAGTCCAAAACTTGGAGAACATCATAATATGGTGGGAGGAGTCATTTGGTTGGTTTTGAGTGAAATCCAATGGCTAAAACTATGCAATACACCAACCACTCCATTTCGGAACGAACTTCCTACGAACCTGAATAGTCCGATTTCAAGGACCAATCGATATCGGATTGAGTCCAAAACTTGGGGAACAACATATTATGGTGGGAGGAGTCATTTGGTTGGTTTTGAGTGAAATCCAATGGCAAAAACTATGCAATACACCAACCACTCCATTTCAGAACGAACTTCCTACGAACCTGAATAGTCCGATTTCAAGGACCAATCGATATCGGATTGAGTCCAAAACTTGGGGAACAACATAATATGGTGGGAGGAGTCATTTGGTTGGTTTTGAGTGAAATCCAATGGCTAAAACTATGCAATACACCAACCACTCCATTTCAGAACGAACTTCCTACGAACCTGAATTGTCCGATTTCAAGGACCAATCGATATCGGATTGAGTCCAAAACTTGGGGACAACATAATATGGTGGGGGAAGTCATTTGGGGGGTTTTGAGTGAAATCCAATGGGAAAAACTATGAAATACACCAACCACTCCATTTCAGAAAGAACTTCCTACGAACCTGAATAGTCCGATTTCATGGACCAATCGATATCGGATTGAGTCCAAAACTTGGGGAACAACATAATATGGTGGGAGGAGTCATTTGGTTGGTTTTGAGTGAAATCCAATGGCTAGAACTATGCAATACACCAACCACTCCATCTAAACGAATTTCCAACGAACCTGAATGGTCCGATTTGACAACGAATTGATATCGGATTGAGTCCAAAACTTGGGGAACATCATAATGTGGTGGGAGGAGTCAGTTGGGTGGTTCTGAGTGAAATCCAATCTCTAAAACTATGCAATACACCAACCACTCCATTTCAGAACGAACTTCCTACGAACCTGAATTTTCCGATTTCAAGGACCAATCGATATCGGATGGAGTCCAAAACTTGGGTAACATCCTAATGTGGTGGGAGGAGTCAGTTGGTTGGTTTTGAGTGAAATCCAATGGCTAAAACTATACAATACACCAACCACTCCATTCTAGAACGAACTTCGTACGAACCTGAATTGTCTGATTTCAACGACCAATCGATTTCAGATTGAGTCCAAAACTTGGGGAACAATATAATGTGGTGGGAGGAGTCATTTGGTTGGTTTTGAGTGAAATCCAATCTCTAAAACTATGCAATACACCAACCACTCCATTTCAGAACGAACTTCCTACGAACCTAAATAGTCCGATTTCATGGACCAATCGATATCGGATTGAGTCCAAAACTTGGGGAATAACATAATATGGTGGGAGGAGTCATTTGGTTGGTTTTGAGAGGGATCCAATGCCCAAAACTATGCAATACACCAACCACTCCTTTTCAGAACGAACTTCCTACGAACCTGAATAGTCCGATTTCATGGACCAATCGATATCGGATTGAGTCCAAAACTTGGGGAACAACATAATATGGTGGGAGGAGTCATTTGGTTGGTTTTGAGTGAAATCCAATCTCTAAAACTATGCAATACACCAACCACTCCATTTCAGAACAAACTTCCTACGAAATTAAATTTTCCGATTTCAACGAACAATCGATATCGGATTGAGTCCAAAACTTGGGGAACATCATAATATGGTGGGAAGAGTCATTTGGTTGGTTTTGAGTGAAATCCAAAAGGCTAAAACTATGCAATTCAACAACCACTCCATTTCAGAACGAACTTCCTACGAACCTGAATTGTCCGATTTCAAGGACCAATCGATATCGGATTGAGTCCAAAACTTGGGGAACAACATAATGTGGTGGAAGGAGTCAGTTGGTTGGTTTTGAGTGAAATCCAATGGCTAAAACAATGCAATACACCAACCACCCCATTTCGGAACGAACTTCCTACGAACCTGAATTGTCCGATTTCAACGACCAATCGATATTGGATCGAGTCCAAAAAAAATAAGATGGATGGTCATGGTGGTGGGGGGGTTTTTTTGTGTTTTGAAATCCAATGGCAAAAACCATGCAATAAACCAACCACTCCATTTCAGAACAAACTTCCTACGAACCTGAATTGCCCTATTTCAACGACCAATTGATATCGAATCGAGTCCAAAACTCGGGGAACATCGTAATGTGATGGGAGGAGTCAGTTGGTTGGTTCTGAGTGAAATCCAATCTCTAAAACTATGCAATACGCCAACCACTCCATTTAAGAACGAACTTCCTACGAACCTGAATTGTCCCAGTTCAACGACCAATCGATATCGAATCAAGTCCAAAACTTGGGTAACATCGTAATATGGTGGGAGGAGTCATTTGGGGGGTTTCGAGTGAAATCTAATGGCTAAAAGTACGCAATACACGAACCACTCCATTTCAGAACGAACTTCCTACAGTTGGTTGGTTCTGAGTGAAATCCAATCTCTAAAACTATGCAATACAACAACCACTCCATTTCTGAACGAACTTCCTACGAACATGAATTGTCCGATTTCAACCACCAATTGGTATCAGATCGAGTCCAAAACTTGGGGAACATCGTAATGAGATGGGAGGAGTCAGTTGGTTGGTTCTGAGTGAAATCCAATGCCTAAAACTATGCAATACACCAACCACTCCATTTCTGAACGAACTTCCTATAGTTGGTTGGTTTTGAGTGAAATCCAATGGCTAAAACTATGCAATACACCAACCATTCCATTTCAAAACGAACTTCCTACGAACCTGAATTGTCCGATTTCAACGAGACCATTGATATCGGATTGAGTCCAAAACCTGGGGAACATCATAATATGGTGGGAGGAGTCAGTTGGTTGGTTTTGAGTGAAATCCAATGGCTAAAACTATGCAATACACCAACCACTCCATTTCAAAACGAATTTGGTACGAACCTGAATTGTTCGATTTCAGGGACAAATCGATTTCGGATTGAGTCCAAAACTTGGGAAACATCATAATATGGTGGGAGGAGTCATTTGGTTGGTTTGAGTGAAATCCAATCTGCTAAAACTATGCAATATGTTGAGGTCTAAAATATTCACGGTTCGGCCCAAATAAATTCTCGGCCCAATGCGATGCTTTACCAAGAAGAAACCCGGTTTGGGCATGCGAAAGTTCATCTTATGCGCTTGCACACATGCCACGCCAAACGACACGCCACGCTAAGCAAGGAATTATCATTCCGCACCTAATCACGCCACAAGCTTAAGTGGGCCCCAAGCCACTCAAATACCCGGGGCTTGCTTGAGTGGGTTGTGGTATGGATGGTAATAAATTGTCATGAGGCCCATTGATGGACCAAGAAGTGGAGGTTCCGGGTTACTTGGGAGCCTCGGAACCCAAGCCCATTTCTTAGGCCCAAACATGTGGGTGAGCACAAAAGAGAAAGTAGCCCAACCAAAATAGCCCATTACTCCAACCAAAATACCCCATCACTTCAACCAAACTAGCCCAATACTTGATGAAGTTAGCCCATGTACTTGATAAACCAACTTATTGTCATAGAAGGCCCAAGCAACCCAAAAAAATATATCTGCAAATCTTCAGCACCTAGCTGAAAACAAAAGCCACGTTGAAAGCCAAAATATCCATGTGTGAAAGCTGCTGGAAAGCTCCAGCACATGGGAGAAACAAGTTTCAAGCAAAAACTTCCAAATGACCAAGGGATATTGGAGCGCAGATCACCATTTGAACCAGCATGCATACCCATTCCTTCCCTCATCAGACCTAGCCTTGGAAAAGGAGAGAAAAGAAGGAAGAAAGATGGCTGAAAATAGAAGTCTGAAACAGCCGCAGGAAAGGGGGCTTTGAGCTCCCAAAAAATCCCTGATTTTATGCAAATGGGTAGAGTGGATTTCACCAAAAAGGGATGATTGAAGAGATGAAGGGAGAAAGGAAGGAAAAGCTTAGCCAAAATGGGTAGAAGCCATTAGGTTTTCTTGGAAAATATCAGCTTCCAGCGGCTATAAATTAGGGCCTCTTCTACCCAACAAAAATCATCCACAACTAGAGAGCAAGCTTCCTCTCATACTTGCAAAAACCAGCAATTTCGTGCACTGTTCATCTTCCTCCATTTTCTTCTTCTGACAAGCTGCCAGAAGAACATAGTTCTTCCCTTTTCTCTTCCTAGCCACATATGCTTGAAAACCTCTTCTTCCTCACCTTAAACACTCCCTTTTCTCCCTAGGAAGCCATATTTCCTTTTTGGTGCTCAACTCATGCTAATTTTGCTCCCATGCCACAAGCCCCTCATGCCAAACTCAAAAGTTTATGTGTAAGCATGAAGAAATTACCTGTAAGCTGCCATTATTTTGGTTGGTGAAGATAACCAAAATACTTCCTAAGGCTCTACTGCCTTTTCGAGGTATTTTGGGGCTTAATTTTCGAACTCAGGCTCAAGGGGCAATTTCTTCCATTTTGCCCTTTACGGCAGTCAAGCCCGTAGTAGCTGCCGGAAGAAAAAAAGCCCCTACATAAATTGGCGACTCTGCTGGGGATTAAGCCACTATCTGCACCAATGCCTCCAAAGAAGAAGACCAGAAGCAATAAACCGGAGGAAATAAAGAGATAAGAGCATTCCCTCTTTCTTTTTCTTTTTCCTTTCGTTGGCTATCTACTTTGTAGAACAAACATAATATAGATTACTCACATGCTCCCTTTGCTTGTGTCTTAGATATCCATTCTCAAGCAAAACAATATCTTGTAAGAGGACTGGGGGCTTCAGCCAACGTGCAAGCCGCTGACCACCGTTGTCAATGGTTGAGGCTAGCTCTGCCGTTCACCTCTCCGCCATGATACATCATCAGCAAGTCTGGCCATCGCCGTAAATCACCTTCATAGCAGCCCTCACCTCTCTAGAGTTGTGAAAACACGGTGAGAGAGGGAGAAGGAACACTTGCTCAATGCTCTCAGCCTCATCTCTGCGAATGGCTTCACCAAGATAAGATTTTTATTATCATGCCTTGTTGATCTCAATATAGTATATATATTTGTTTGTTGTTTTAGGATATCCATAAAATTTATGTTTCATTGAACAATCTCAAGCATAGACAAAAGCATGTGCATTCAAGTCCAAAAAAAAAAGATTGATTGATTAGTTGATATTCATATGGTGCACCAGCTTGCATCATTTTCTTGTTATGTATTAAACCACCTTTCAATTTTGCATCTCCAGCAAAATTTCTCAGGGCCTTATTCCACGCACTATTCACTTATCTTACTTCTTATCATTTCGTATCGATCCACCTTTGTGTTAATCAATCCAAGTTACACATTGCAATGTAGATGCCAACTATGCATGCTCAGTACTAAAATCATACCTGCCCAGCATGCTTATGTCAATTATGTTAGTCATTTGCAAGCTACAATGCTTATATTATTTTTATGCTTTGGTCATGCAGCATTATATCGGTCATGTGCAAGGGACCCAAGCCTCCAAACAACAAACAAGAAAACAAATGCTCTCATGTTTCCTACCCAACATCTCAACACACTGCCATTATCATCTATTCCTTAGACAAATCTCTCTCTATACTTCCAGTCATAGAAGTTCAAGCACCACTGAAAGAGCCGCTGGAAGGGTGGAAGAAGAACAGAGCCAGTCAAAATCCAAACACCACTGCTGGAAGAGTCGCTGCCAGAAGCACATGCTACCACCGAATCATGCCAAACTGTCACCGTTGCAACAAAGGGATATCCCAAGTTCATCATGCCATGCAATAACCCAAACAAATACTAAGAAGGCCATGTTGCAAGAGTTTTTGTAGCCTGTGCCCATCAAATCCTTTTCTGATGATTATGGTGCACTTGGGGGCTGAGGAAGGAATTCATTGCAATCACCACGGCAGTGATTCCAAAACCCCAAATGAGCTTAAAAATCCATTATTACCAAAACCACTATTCCCAGACCAAAAATCTCCTTGAAATCCCAATTATGTTACTATGATCTCCAAGTTCGCCATCACTTGTTGTTGTAACCCAACACATTTGCTGCAGTGACCACATACAAAGCTCAAGCTTCAATAGCCAAGTCCAAGCTTTTGGTTCCTAAAACATGTTCACAACAGCTGCAACAAACAATACCTAAGTTGCCATAACTGATATGCAATACACCACTGCTTGCCATACTCTAAGGAAGATCTTACACGCCGAGATACATGACAAAACTCTAAGAGGCAAGCTATTGACAAGGACCCCTTGCCAAAACGAAGGGGAAAGTAGATGGCTACTGTCATTACGTGCTTTGATGACTTGCTCGACGACGACGTATTGTGCCACCTGTGGAAGAATGACCCAAAGCCACCGGAGGCTATGTGGGAACCTTGTGGAAATATGAAGAAGGCCAACTGGAGCAAATATTCAAAATCTGCAAGCTATAACACCCCATGGCTACTTGCTAATTGATGGGAGAATGGTTCCAGCAGCGAAGTATTCACATTGGACATGCTGGAAGAAAGCCACTCGGAGGCTTCATTTGGTCATCAAGATTATCAAGAAGCAGCTGTTGTAACCTCTCATAACTTCACAGAGGTTGAAGAAAGTACAATGGGTTAGGAGCTGCAAATCACTCTTTGATTAGTTTGGTTATGAGCTGCAGGCAAGCAAAGCAGCAACTGTGGCTCTGTTAAATATCTCTACAGAGCATGGCATCCTAGTACAACACATGCCAAATACATGCCAACCTAAGCCACAAGCTTTCATACTATTGCAAGTCATGCACTCTCTTTGGCCCTTTCATACTTGGGGGCTTAATTTGATGGGGGTATTTATCAATGCAAATGGCTCAAAGCCTTACTACTGAGTTGCTTTTGCACCTATCCTTTTGTTTTTGGTTTTTCAAATTTATTTCAAAGATGAACTCCTTTTGTGTTTTCACCATATGTTTTCACAACTTTGGTAGAATGCACCACCATTATTGCATGCCAAGGCATAAAACGATATTTGCAAGGAGAATGGAGTATTTTGGAAAAAGAGAAAAAAAAAGCCTCTAGAATTCTTTCCTTACTTTTATCTTCTTCTGTTTTGCAAAACGTGTTCTTTGAAAAGAAAAAGAAAATAGACAAGCAAACTTCCCTTTTAAAAGCTAAGCCTTTTAGCAGTAACCATGCCAAGCAAAGTCACTTGGATGGGGTCCCGAACCATCAACAAGCATCAAGCCTAAGCAAAATGATGTGGGGTATGCAAAGTCAAGCTATTACAAAGAAACGAGCAGTAAAAGTGTATTTTGAGGCGCTGGAATAACGAAACCGTTGACTCCCAATCGGAATGCTCAAAAAAATTCACAACATCCGGCAATTCTTACAGGAGCCTTCGTGGAAATCATGCATACAGTGGCATGACCCTTTTTAAGGCATGGAAAGAGGGTGCATTTTAGGCCAAATGAGTAGGCGAGCCTTGCAAAAGTTTTAAAGAGCAATGCATCGAAGATTTAGCTTAAAGGTCCTGTCAAAATTTTGGGCAGCATATACCTTGTTTTTAAGGCTTGCCAACTCGTCAGAAAATTTCCAGAAGTTCACAAGAGCAAGTTCTCCCAACCAAGCAATATATATATATAAGATGTACGAATTACAACATGCCTCAAGCATTCAGAAATTAATGCAAGTTCCAGTGGTTCAGTAGTACATTACAAAGTCATAATGACATAGTCGTTAGATTATCTAAAAAGTACACAGCCATCGCAAAAACAAGGTTACACATGCTGGAGATTAGTACATCCTATGGTATCAAGAAAGATGGAAGCTGTGCACCAAGCCAACTGACCCCAAGCCAAAGAAAACAACCTGCGAAATAAAAGGAGGCAGCACGCTGGAAGATGCAAGGCAGCGCCGGCAACTATGTCGCATGTTCTGAGAAGAGGATGAGTAGGAGGCAGCACTGCCGGAAGGTGCAAGGCAGCGCCGGCAACTATGTCGCATGTTCTGAGAAGAGAATGAGGAGGAGGCAGCACTGCTGGAAGGTGCAGGGCAGTGCCGGCAGCTATGTTGGATGTTCCGAGAAAAGGATGAGTATGAGGCAGCACTGCTAGAAGGAGCAGGGCATTGTCTACCCCTGCATCGGATGTCCCAAGAACATAGGGGCTATGGGAATCATGCCGCCATGCGCTATTGCTAAAGCCAAGGGGAACACCTGCGCATGCAGACAATCTTGGGAAAAGTCACAGAGGAGGAATTTCCCAAACCATAATGATACAAACGCAGCAAGACGACACTGGCTCTTCGCCTACTGCAACATCTTCACAAGCATTCTTGAGCAATGGAGGGGCCTTCCCTTCTTCAATTTATCATCCGTTGAATAAAGGTGGCCACTAATAATTGACGACGGGTTAGTGGATGCCATGGCAGGTCTTGACAAGCGATGAATCCCTGCAAGAATTGCCAACAAAGAATACGCTGAAAAAACGGCAAAGCATAAAGCTAGTTCTCTGTGTTAAAGCCAAGCAATCTCCACACTAGCATGCAAGCCATATGAACTTTACAAGCCAAGCAAAGCAAGCTATCTCATGCCAAGCGAAATGCATAAACAAAAAAATATTTTTGAAGCATCATGCAATCTATTACTCGAGCTCATGAAAAGCAAATTTCCCATTCCATGCTCAATCAATCATTCCAGCAGACCCTTTTTCACAAAGCAAGTGCTACAAACTGAGCACTATTTACCTCATAGTAACCTTTTTCACAAAAACGAAATACCTACGAGTTACACAGCATCCTTGCAGACCCATCATACACATGTTTATGTCTATCCTTATAAAGCCAAAAAAATAAACAGTTACCCATGACCAAATTCTAAGCACATAAAAAATAAAAAAATAAATAAAAAGAAACCAATGGTGCTTTTCTCAAAGCTTTCAATAGCCTCTAATCCTATGCATTAATCATACGATTACAAGCATGCGCTCGTAATATGGTGGGAGGAGTCATTTGGTGTGGTTTTGAGTGAAATCCAATGGATAAAACTATGCAATACACCAACCACTCCATTTTAGAGCGAACTTCGTACGAACCTGAATCGTCCAATTTCAAGGACCAATCGATATCGGATTGAGTCCAAAACTTGGGGAACATCATAATATGGTGGGAGGAGTCATTTGGTGTGTTTTGAGTGAAATCCAATGGATAAAACTATGCAATACACCAACCACTCCATTTCAGAGCGAACTTCGTACGAACCTGAATCGTCCAATTTCACGGACCAATCGAAATCGGATTGAGTCCAAAACTTGGGGAACATCATAATATGGTGGGAGGAGTCATTTGGTGTGTTTTGAGTGAAATCCAATGGATAAAACTATGCAATACACCAACCACTCCATTTCAGAGCGAACTTCGTACGAACCTGAATCGTCCAATTTCAGGGACCAATCGATATCGGATTGAGTCCAAAACTTGGGGAACATCATAATATGGTGGGAGGAGTCATTTGGTGTGTTTTGAGTGAAATCCAATGGATAAAACTATGCAATACACCAACCACTCCATTTCAGAGCGAACTTCGTACGAACCTGAATCGTCCAATTTCACGGACCAATCGATATCGGATTGAGTCCAAAACTTGGGGAACATCATAATATGGTGGGAGGAGTCATTTGGTGTGTTTTGAGTGAAATCCAATGTATAAAACTATGCAATACACCAACCACTCCATTTCAGAACGAACTTCGTACGAACCTTAAATTGTCCAATTTCAACGACCAATCGATATCGGATTGAGTCCAAAACTTGGGGAACATCATAATATGGTGGGAGGAGTCATTTGGGGGGTTTTGAGTGAAATCTAATGGCCAAAAGTACGCAATACATGAACCACTCCATTTCAGAACGAACTTTTGGTTGGTTTTGAGTGAAATCCAATCTCTAAAACTATGCAATACACCAACCACTCCATTTCTGAACGAACTTCCTACGAACCTGAATTGTCCGATTTCAAGGACCAATCGATATCGGATTGAGTCCAAAACTTGGGGAACATCATAATATGGTGGGAGGAGTCATTTGGTTGGTTTTGAGTGAAATCCAATGGCTAAAACTATGCAATACACCAACCACTCCATTTCGGAACGAACTTCCTACGAACCTGAATTGTCCGATTTCATGGACCAATCGATATCGGATTGAGTCCAAAACTTGGGGAACAACATAATATGGTGGGAGGAGTCATTTGGTGGGTTTGAGTGAAATCCAATGGCTAAAACTATGCAATACACCAACCACTCCATTTCAGAACGAACTTCCTACGAACCTGAATTGTCCGATTTCATGGACCAATCGATATCGGATTGAGTCCAAAACTTGGGGAACAACATAATGTGGTGGGAGGAGTCATTTGGTTGGTTTGAGTGAAATCCAATCTCTAAAACTATGCAATACACCAACCACTACATTTCAGAACGAACTTCCTACGAACCTGAATTGTCCGATTTCAACAACCAATCGATATCGGATTAAGTCCAAAACTTGGGGAACACGTAATATGGTGGGAGGGGTCATTTGGGGGGTTTTGAGTGAAATCCAATGGCTAAAAGTATGCAATACACCAACCACTCCATTTCAGAACGAACTTCCTACATTTGGTTGGTTTGAGTGAAATCCAATCTCTAAAACTATGCAATACACCAACCACTCCATTTGTGAACGAACTTCCTACGAACCTGAATTGTCCGATTTCAACCACCAATTGATATCAGATCGAGTCCAAAACTTGGGGAACATCGTAATGAGATGGGAGGAGTCAGTTGGTTGGTTCTGAGTGAAATCCAAAACTTGGAATACACCAATGTGAAGGAGTTGGTTGGTTTGAGTGAAATCCAAATGGCTAAAACTATGCAATACACCAACCACTCCATTTCAAAACGAACTTCCTACGAACCTGAATAGCCCGATTTCAACGACCAATAATATCGGATTGAGTCCAAAACTTGGGGAACAACATAATATGGTGGGAGGAGTCAGTTTGGTTGGTTTTGAGTGAAATCCAATGGCTAAAACTATGCAACACACCAACCACTCCATTTCAGAACGAACTTTCGTACGAACCTGAATTGTCCGATTTCATGGACCAATCGATTTCGGATTGAGTCCAAAACTTGGGGAACATCATAATATGGTGGGAGGAGTCATTTGGTTGGTTTTGAGTGAAATCCAATGGCTTAAAACTATGCAATACACCAACCACTCCATTTCAGAACGAACTTCCTACGAACCTGAATTGTCCGATTTCAGGACCAATCGATATCGGATTGAGTCCAAAACTTGGGGAACAACATAATATGGTGGGAGGAGTCATTTGGTTGGTTTTGAGTGAAATCCAATGGCTAAAACTATGCAATACACCAACCACTCCATTTCAGAACGAACTTCCTACGAACCTGAATTGTCCGATTTCGAGGACCAATCGATATCGGATTGAGTCCAAAACTTGGGGACCATCATAATATGGTGGGAGGAGTCATTTGGTTGGTTTTGAGTGAAATCCAATGGCTAAAACTATGCAATACACCAACCACTCCATTTCAGAACGAACTTCCTACGAACCTGAATAGTCCGATTTCATGGACCAATCGATATCGGATTGAGTCCAAAACTTGGGGAACATCATAATATGGTGGGAGGAGTCATTTGGTTGGTTTTGAGTGAAATCCAATGGCTAAAACTATGCAATACACCAACCACTCCATTTCAGAACGAACTTCCTACGAAACCTGAATTGTCCGATTTCAGGACCAATCGATATCGGATTGAGTCCAAAACTTGGGGAACAACATAATATGGTGGGAGGAGTCATTTGGGTGGGTTTTGAGTGAAATCCAATGGCTAAAACTATGCAATACACCAACCACTCCATTTCAGAACGAAACTTCCTACGAAACCTGAATTGTCCGATTTCAGGACCAATCGATATCGGATTGAGTCCAAAACTTGGGGAACAACATAATATGGTGGGAGGAGTCATTTGGTTGGTTTTGAGTGAAATCCAATGTCTAAAACTATGCAATACACCAACCACTCCATTTCAGAACGAACTTCCTACGAACCTGAATAGTCCGATTTCAAGGACCAATCGATATCGGATTGAGTCCAAAACTTGGGGAACAACATAATATGGTGGGAGGAGTCATTTGGTTGGTTTTGAGTGAAATCCAATGGCTAAAACTATGCAATACACCAACCACTCCATTTCAGAACGAACTTCCTACGAACCTGAATAGTCCGATTTCAAGGACCAATCGATAACGGATTGAGTCCAAAACTTGGGGAACAACATAATATGGTGGGAGGAGTCATTTGGTTGGTTTTGAGTGAAATCCAATGGCTAAAACTATGCAATACACCAACCACTCCATTTCAGAACGAACTTCCTACGAACCTGAATAGTCCGATTTCATGGACCAATCGATATCGGATTGAGTCCAAAACTTGGGGAAACATCATAATATGGTGGGAGGAGTCATTTGGTTGGTTTTGAGTGAAATCCAATGGCTAAAACTATGCAATACACCAACCACTCCATTTCAGAACGAACTTCCTACGAACCTGAATAGTCCGATTTCATGGACCAATCGATATCGGATTGAGTCCAAAACTTGGGGAACAACATAATATGGTGGGAGGAGTCATTTGGTTGGTTTTGAGTGAAATCCAATGTCTAAAACTATGCAATACACCAACCACTCCATTTCAGAACGAACTTCCTACGAACCTGAATAGTCCGATTTCATGGACCAATCGATATCGGATTGAGTCCAAAACTTGGGGAACAACATAATATGGTGGGAGGAGTCATTTGGTTGGTTTTGAGTGAAATCCAATGGCTAAAACTATGCAATACACCAACCACTCCATTTCAGAACGAACTTCCTACGAACCTGAATAGTCCGATTTCATGGACCAATCGATATCGGATTGAGTCCAAAACTTGGGGAACAACATAATATGGTGGGAGGAGTCATTTGGTTGGTTTTGAGTGAAATCCAATGGCTAAAACTATGCAATACACCAACCACTCCATTTCAGAACGAACTTCCTACGAACCTGAATAGTCCGATTTCATGGACCAATCGATATCGGATTGAGTCCAAAACTTGGGGAACAACATAATATGGTGGGAGGAGTCATTTGGTTGGTTTTGAGTGAAATCCAATGGCTAAAACTATGCAATACACCAACCACTCCATTTCAGAACGAACTTCCTACGAACCTGAATTGTCCGATTTCATGGACCAATCGATATCGGATTGAGTCCAAAACTTGGGGAACAACATAATATGGTGGGAGGAGTCATTTGGTTGGTTTGAGTGAAATCCAATGGCTAAAACTATGCAATACACCAACCACTCCATTTCAGAACGAACTTCCTACGAACCTGAATAGTCCGATTTCATGGACCAATCGATATCGGATTGAGTCCAAAACTTGGGGAACAACGTAATATGGTGGGAGGAGTCATTTGGTTGGTTTTGAGTGAAATCCAATGGCTAAAACTATGCAATACACCAACCACTCCATTTCAGAACGAACTTCTACGAACCTGAATAGTCCGATTTCATGGACCAATCGATATCGGATTGAGTCCAAAACTTGGGGAACAACATAATATGGTGGGAGGAGTCATTTGGTTGGTTTTGAGTGAAATCCAATGGCTAAAACTATGCAATACACCAACCACTCCATTTCAGAACGAACTTGCTACGAACCTGAATAGTCCGATTTCATGGACCAATCGATATCGGATTGAGTCCAAAACTTGGGGAACAACATAATATGGTGGGAGGAGTCATTTGGTTGGTTTTGAGTGAAATCCAATGGCTAAAACTATGCAATACACCAACCACTCCATTTCAGAACGAACTTCCTACGAACCTGAATAGTCCGATTTCATGGACCAATCGATATCGGATTGAGTCCAAAACTTGGGGAACAACATAATATGGTGGGAGGAGTCATTTGGTTGGTTTTGAGTGAAATCCAATGGCTAAAACTATGCAATACACCACCACTCCATTTCAGAACGAACTTGCTACGAACCTGAATAGTCCGATTTCATGGACCAATCGATATCGGATTGAGTCCAAAACTTGGGGAACAACATAATATGGTGGGAGGAGTCATTTGGTTGGTTTTGAGTGAAATCCAATGGCTAAAACTATGCAATACACCAACCACTCCATTTCTGAACGAACTTCCTACGAACCTGAATAGTCCGATTTCATGGACCAATCGATATCGGATTGAGTCCAA